GAAAGTGAGCAGAGAGATACTGAATCCATGCATGACTTTCCTGCCTCTTCCTTCCCTCACATCACTCCTTGCTGCCTGCTCATTCCTCGCATCTACAGTCACACCCTCATCTTGATCATTCCTTCTTCCTTCCCTGCTTCCTTCCCTGCTTCCTTCCTTCCTTCCTTGCTTCCTTCCTTGCTTCGTTAATTATTTTCGCTGTCTCTCTCTCTCTCTCTCTCTCTCTCTTTCTTTCTCTCTGCATCTGTCTTTGAGGATCCGGCTCACCCCTGCTCGGGGTTCATCCTCACCCCTGTTCGGGGTTCATCCACACCCCTGCATGGGGTTCTCACGACCCCTGTTCAGGGTCCAGGCTCACCCTTTTCGGGGTTCATCGGACGCCCCTGTGCGGGGCTCTAACGACCCCTGTTCGGGGTCCAAGCTCACCCCTGTTCGGGGTTCATCCACACCCCTGCACGGGGTTCTCACGACCCCTGTTCGGGGTCCAGGCTCACCCCTTTTCGGGGTTCATCCACACCCCTGTACGGGGCTCCGACGACCCCTGTTCGGGGTCCAAGCTCACCCCTATTCGGGGTTCATCCCGCAGCCCCTTCAAGGGCTTGGTGCGGGTACGCCCCTGCACGGGGCTCCGAAGACCTCTGATGTGGCGACCTGACATCCTGACAGAGCCTGCGCGAATGCCTAATTACAACTACTTTTGCCTGCTACCTTTAAACTTCTTTCCTGATCAATGCCTCCTTACCTACATGCCCGCCTACCTAGCTATCTAGAGACCTGGAAGCCTGCCGGTGCACCTAGACCTACAAGTACCTCCCTCCTGCCTATCTACTTATCTATACCTACCTGCAGGAGTGGGTGGGCGGGTTTGGGGGTTGGGTGGGATTACAGTTTAGGGTCCAGGGTTTAGGGCATGAGCTGGACGTTACGAAAGCTTAGATTCCCTTCATGTTTAATCATGAACACACACACACTAATTTTCAAGTCGTTGTGAATCGTACAAAAAGCTGACTTTAGGGTTTCAGAACACAAAATCTCAAGCTTCTTGTTTTCGTTGAGCCACAAGAACACCAAGTTGCATTTGTTTGGTTTGCTCGGCACAAACGAATCTTCAAAATAACTTCAAAAATATCTTGCAACAAAGAAATTCCATGTGAACTACAAAACTTGGGACAGGCAATTATGTCAGTATGGCTTTGATTTTTCGATGTACATGTTTTCACATTTCGAACAAACCAAGTTTTTCAGGCATTGATTTTTCTATTGAGCCACAAGCACACATCTTTTTATACATGTCCAGCATCTCGCTCTTTCCATAGAGCCACAAGAACACACATGACGTAGGCCCAATGTTGCTGCAGTAGTTGCATTTGTTTTCCGTCCTGCCCCCCCCCTTCAGCACGACATCAGACATGTTGCTTTACGTGTCCTATATACACGTGTTCTGACATGTCCATCATGTCAGCAACAAGTGTCCTATATACACGTGTTCTTACATGTCCATCACACGTGTTCTTGCATGTCCATCATGTCAGCAACACGTGTCCTATATACACGTGTTCTTACATGTCCATCATGTCAGCAACACATGTCCTATATACACGTGTTCTTACATGTCACTCATGTCAGCAACATAAATCCTAGGACCCGGTTCCATAACGGAAAGGACCCGGTTAGCCCCGGACAGGCATATTGGACAAAGCTTCAAGACGGGTTTAACGTCCGGCATGTTCAAGCTCTAGTGTGGAAATATGCTCGGCGCGACATCCCCAAAGCCCAAATTCCAGTCGACACCCTAAACGCAAATCTAAGAACCATGCAAGGTCGAAGATCGAGCAGAGCGAGAGCTGAAGACTTGCTGCCTGAATCCCAGAGCCCTGCCCTTGAAGTCAGGCTGCGGTGTAGCAGGTTGCCGTATCTTTATACCCATGACATAGCAACCCACTATTGGGGGAGTGGGGAGACCGCACGACCCTAAACTCTACACCTTGACCCCCTACGCAGCCCGGAGAACGGCAACGCGGTGTAATACTGAAGACCTTCACGTTAACAGCAGCATTTATGACATTGTGCTGACAGCTTGCAGTTGCATGTACATCATCTGCAGCAGCAACAACAACAACAGCGAACACACCCCAAGGCACCAGAAACGATTAAAAGAGTTGTCGTCGTGAACTCTGGCATGACCACTTCTTTCGCCATCCCCCATCATCAACTGCATCTGCATCTGGCTACAGCTACCCTCCTGGCAATGGAGACAACCACAGACATCAAACGGGGCGTCAATATTTCCGCAACCAATGGCCGAGTGCTGAATATCTTAGAGCCCAGCTCTCCAGCAGCGCCGCAGCTGAGACATCCGGAGCTTGCCGGTGCCTTGATGGATTCTTGCTTTGGAGGCTGTAAGCGGCCAGGCAGTACTGGTACTTGGCTAAAGCAGTTTCGAGTGTACAGACCACGACCTGCAATCATGTTCACTGAGGCCGACATGCCAGCACCGATACCAAAGCTGCTCCAGTACTAATACTAAACCCGAAACTCTTTTTCAGCATGGGCCCCTTAAACCCAAAACTCTAAAACCTAAACCCTAACCCACCGTATACACAAAGTCGACAAAAGCAGTGGACCATGCAGCAAGCACGTGTTGCTTGTTCTAGAGCTCCAGGCTGCTACGCAAAGTGATACTGTGGGGGGCCTTAATACATAATTAGACTATATTGTTTGGGGTAGATTATATTATAGTGAAAAATATAGGGAACACCCAAAACCCTATTCTAATAGTTGACGCCCCTATGTTAACCCCTTTCGTGCTGCCCAAGCACAATATTACACTATAGTTATAATATACAGAACACCCCAAACCCTATTCTAATTGGTAAGGCCCCTATGTTAACCCCCTTCGGTGCTGCCCAAGCACAAAGCTTGCAGGGTCGGCAGCCAGGCGTCCTCTTCGGCCTCACCTTCAGAAATCGCTTCGCGGGCTTTCTGAAAGACAGGGTCGGGGATACTTGGAGGTTATAAGGGCTCCTTTAAGGGACCCTTTTAAGGGATCTATCGGGTTCTAGAAGGGTATAAGGGTATAGGGTTTAGGGTCTACTTGGAGGTTCATGGTTAGTTATAAGTAGGGTTGTAAGAAGGATAACTATCGTTACGACCCATATTAAGGGCCTTATAACCCCACTTATAACTACCCATGAACCTCCAAGTACAAGATACCGATGCGTTCTGTTGGGACACCATAAAGCTAGCTACGCGTGAAGGCTGAAGAGTTTACCATAACAAGAGACCAGCTGCAAGACAGACCCAAGAAACGAACCGGAGCCAGGCCACAACCAACATGTTCACATGCATGCGTCCAAAGCTCATCTTGCCAATGAACGAAGAGTTTAGATGTCCGCAAACTGTATGCTTTATAGAAAATGTCACCTGCGACTTGCACCGACCCCTCATGATCGAATCACACGTCATAAGCATTGCGCCTCCACATGCCTGCGACACTCACCAAACGCAACAGAAATAACGGCAGTGCTGACACGTAAATAGCAAGCAGCAGTAAACAGCAGTAAGCAACAGTATCCACAATATGCGTCTCGCTCGTGGTACATGAGACAACCATTCATAAGACCTCCATATGAAACCTTACGACTCCGGATTCTAAGTGGCATCTCAACCCCACTTGGACGTTCATGGGTAGTTGTAAGTGGGGTTATAAGTCTTGTAGTATGGACACGTAAAAACCCGCTTGTGACTAGTCCTGAACCTCCGCGTAGAATGCAAAACTGGGGTCACCTTTCCCTCCGGACATGTGCCTCGCAGGCGGCCAGTGGCGTTATCGCTGCCACCTCGTGCCTTTCCAGGATCAGTAAGACTTTGTAATAATAAGGAAATGTGTGTATATATTATATATATATATATACACATACTGGCTAATATTTTGTGAAAAGACATAGTATAACGGTATATTACATTCCAATAGACTGGACTGTATACTACACTCTGCCCAGTAGCACGCTGTCATATAACCATCATGACACCCACGGAGCAAGCAAGCAATGTCGGAAATGATGCGCAAGTTGGACCACAATATGACTGCAAGAAGGATTCTGGCAAGAAGAGCAGCAGCCAGAGAAGTGCCACGAAGCCGGCACTTGTCAGAACTCATGTCCTAAACCCTGGAATTCGTGAGAAGTCCGAAAGCTTGCTCCAGGGATCATGTGGGCTTCGGATTTACTCGCGGCTAAGCAGTTTGCCATTGTGAAGGCCCCTATACTCAGTCCTTCTAGAAGCCCTTGTAGATCCCTTAAAGGAATCCTATTCTAGCCTGTTGCCAAAGCCTAAAGCAGCCAAGACGGAGTCAGACTTGAGGCAACCCTTAGGCACTGTCATGCCCCCGAGCTTCCCCTTCCTGGGACAGGACACACGCAAAAGATCTTCTCCTGGTATGGACCGTGACATGTTGTCTCTCTCTCTCTCTCTCTCTCTCTCTGCCGTGAGATCATTCTATAGTATTCTGTTACACCATTCTTTTTTACATCATACTCTTCACCCTTTCCAGAAGCACAAGGTCACAGGAGGCCACCCCCCCTCTACGACCTGGCCTGGAAGTTGTAGTCCTCCAGTGCCCGGCGGCGCCCGGTCGCGCGGGTGATGCCCAGAAGTCGCCTGGTATCGGGGATTCTCCAATCTACTTGGAGGTTCATGGGTAGTTATAAATGAGGTTGCCTACAATATGGGTTAAAACTATAGTTATCCTACTTATAGCACTGCTTAAAACTTCAAATGTACCTCCAACCCAAGCACGGCTGAAAGTAAGAAGATGATGCTACGGCTACCACTCAAACTGCTGCCACCACTACTTGGGGACGTAGCACGTGGAGTCCTTGCGACGATGACTAGAATGACTAGATATTCAAGCGACGGCCTAGAAGAAGCCTGAGCATCTTCCACACGGTATGTCTTTCCACAAAGGAGAGCCACAGAAAGATCCCAAGCTATCCCAAGCTTCAGGGCAAGCCCCGTTTCCTCCTCCCGAGTTCGTGGACCCGGGGGCACCTGTACAAGCAAAGAGCTGTGAGCGTGATCAGAAAGGCCATGCCGAAGGCGGCAGTGGAGGTGAAGACCACTTCCTGCAAAGGACGAGACTCCCATCACCCTTAGCCCTGAGCCTAGGAGCCTGGGTCTAAAGCACGGTCCGTGCCATTCCGAGGAACTTTGGCTGCTTCAAGTGCAGAGACATAGACGACAACTACTACCACTACCACTACCACTAGCACTACCACCACCACCACCACCACCACCACCACCACTCACCACTCACCACTCACCACTCACCACTCACCACTCACCACTCACCACTCACCACTCACCACTTACCACTTACCACTTACCACTTACCACTCACCACTCACCACTCACCACTCACCACTCACCACTTACCACTTACCACTTACCACTTACCACTTACCACTTACCACTGCCGCTGCAGCTGCCGCTGCCACTGCCACTTACCACTTGCCACTGCCGCTGCCGCTGCCACTGCCGCTGCCACTGCCACTGCCACTACCACTACCACTACCACCACCACTACTACTACTACTACTACTACTACTACTACTACTACTACGACTACGACTACGACGACTACTACGACTACTACGACTACTACGACTACGACTACGACTACGACTACGACTGCGACTACGACTACGACTACGACTACGACTACGACTACGACTACGACTACGACTACGACTACTACTACTACTACTACTACTACTACTACTACTACTACTACTACTACTACTACTACTACTACTACTACTACTACTACTGCTACGACTACGACCACTACTACCACGACTACTACGACGACGACGACTACTACTACTACTACTACTACTCCTACTACTGCTGCTACCACCAGTACCACTTCCACCACACTACGACGACGACGATGACGGCTACTAGCAATGCTACTACTGCTTGTTCTACGATTACTACGACGACAACCAGGACGACGACGACTACTACCATCACGGCTGCTACTGGTGCTGATTCTACTACTGCTGCTGCCAGACTCCTTCTTCTCCTCTTCATCAAACTCCTACAACTTTTTTGCAGCAGGCCACTACTACCCCAACCACTGCCAACTACGAAGGGAAACAGCAACATCAATAGTAATACCTATAGTAATAAGATAATACCCTAGCACCATACATCGCAATCCGGCTATCCGAATAGCTGCTTTCAGCAAGTCTAGCACTAGCCAGTATCACTAGGGGCAAACCGAACGGGCAGGGATTTGAGACTGTTGAAACTGCAGATATTCGAGGCATCCTAAGGAATAGCAGCTACTATGCCTTCCTTCCGACCCTTGGAGTATGACCACAACTCGGCCTCGAGCACATGCTCAGGTGGGGGGATGCCAGAGACCAGGAAGAACCTCGAGGATTTAGAGGATTTTTGGCGCTCGCACTAGGGTGGCGGATGGAGGGCTTGGGATCTGCGGGGTCGGTTAGGAGCTGGGGTTTTGGGTCAGGTGCTTCAATTCCGATGCAAGAAGCTGCCCTCATCACGGTGTGGTGCTGTGACAACAAAGAAATACGGTCACAGGCATGGTGACGTGATTCGCGGACGCCACAGCGTGTTACTGAAATGGTGTTTACTACACGTGGTACAACGACTTCAGATGGGTATCACTGTGATGGGGCGACTGAAGTCTTGATGAAACCCTCTCAGCACCAAATTCTTGCACCTTAGCTCCTCAGACTTTTGCGACCTAAAAGAGCCCTGAACCCCGGAACCTTGCAGCTTAGTTGTGACCACGAATCCATCAGCGTGCCGACACAACAATCCTTCTCGGCCCTTTGCCCTGAAGCTTTAGAGTTCCTGAGAGCTCTTTTGGTGATAAACAAGTGGCATGCTTGCATAGTTTTTGTAGATCTGTTGTTTTGATTGGCCATGTAGTTCCCGTTTACGAGAAACCTCGAAGGATCCCATGAAGGAACCCTTGTGGGCCCTGTAGAGAGGCTCACTTAACCTACAGTTCCCACGCCTCATCAGCGCCGAGCTGTCGTGGTCTCCGGCTGGTGTGCAGCTCCCAATCCAAGGAAATGCTGAGGCCTTGGCTCAAGATTAGGGTTTGGGGTTTCGGATAGGGTTTCGGCGCTCATACTCGGACAATCCAGGCGAGGGGTTCGAGGGTTTAGGGTTTCGCGTTTCCGTCTTTTGTTGTTGAGGGCCCTTTTCCATCCGCCTAGGTTAGCGTCAGGAACTCCAAGAAGGGTCTGAGGACTTCGGCGTTGTGGCTTTAAGGTGTTGCTGTTGCGGTCTGGGGGTTTGAGGTCTTACGATTTCTTGCCACATGCCTGGCTGACTCAAGCTCATGGTATAGGGGATTTGGCTTGAGCTCAGGGTTAGTATTACGTGCATATCCAGTAGGTGTGAACTACCTGCTTACAGTTAACATGTGGGTATGTATGTATGTACACTGGCTAAGCTTAACTGTCTGTTCCATTGCCCTATGCATTTACAGATACGTACTATCAATTTGTCAGGTCAGTATTTGCGCGCGGCAATTGTGCCCGTACACGTGTCGGCCCTCGTCAGCTGCTGTCGACTACCATTGCGGTGTAAAGGCATGGTACCTTGGAGTAGCTCACATCTATGCTCCTGTCCCCAAAGAACCCTGAGGGCCTTGGGGTAGGTTTCCTTGCTGGTTGTGATCCATATGTGAGGACATGAGGTCCGAAATGTCCGGATCACACAGGGTGTCTCAACGTCGCATTTCTTTAGTTGGCGTGACCGGATAACCAGAATTCTGGTATACAGTACAAGGGTCCTTTGGTTCTCTCGAACTCCCGAACACTGAATGAACGCCCAAGGCTCAACACCCAAACCTGCAGACGCAAATCAAGCATGCCCCAGTTGAACATAAGCTGCTCGCTTGGCCCGCTTGGCGCTTAGGGTTTCACGGAGCACAGAAACGAAGTGCCTCAAATTCCACACGAAGCATCACTTTTTGACAACCAACACCTGAATCAAGCGCCAACTGCCAATCACCAAGTGATTCAACCTCTAAACTAAGCCCAGGATGGCCCGCTAAACCCTGGGTGGCCCACCCCGAAAAATACAGTCAATCCAGAAGTCACCTGAAGCCCGTAACCCAAAACTGAAAAAAACTCAATTTGGCTGTTGTAAAGGCTCAGCCTTTGTTCTTTGAAAGGATGTGGTGCGGGGCTTTCATTACCGTGACTGGTTGTCGCATATGACTTGAGACTCTGGGGCTTCTTTGGCCTGGGCTGGTGACTTACCTGTGGCCACCCCCATCCCACCCAAAAAAAACCATAGATTTGTCTTCAGCGCTGCTTTGGATCCAGAATGAGGAACCCTGGAAGCGTAGGCTTGTTCCCAAAGTAGTTCCTTTTTGGGGTTCATATATAGAATCCTATAAGGTAATCCCAACACGGAACTACTTTGGGGCCTATGGGTAGGCTTTAAGGCCAGTTTCGGGTGTTGAAGGAGCACCGTGTCTCAAGGCTTCGGAATTTCGGCTTCTGCTCGGCTCGGGAGGCAAGGGCCGGTCCCAGGTTTCGGCCCTTTGGAAGCTCTCGGACTCCTTATTGCAATTATAGTATCATGGGCCCCAAAACCCTATTCTAATTATTAAGGCCCCTATATTATAGAATTATAGTACCCTTATAGATCCCTTATGCCGTGCTTCGGGCCTTTTTCTGTCATGCAAGCATTTGTCCGACGATGGTGGTTTCCAACCTGGTGTTTGCAAACAAGTGGATCTCGTGTATGTAGTGCAGCACAGCGTCCTGCTTAAGTCGCTCCATCATGGTCCTCTTGCGCTCACGAAACTCCCGCTTTGAGCGGCATGTGTTCTTAAAGGTAACAACTGCCAGACACGGGGATTCGAAGAGACCGCGGCGATGAACTTCATACAGCAACTGACACGCGTTCTCAAGGCCATCGTTCATGTCACAGACAAACAGGGAGACTTTCTTTCTCTCATCGGAGGCCTCGTCCTCCAGCTTCGAGATAGCCTCCTCACCACGCATGCGCCAGTGCGAGATGCTTCCAGGAGTCTCTGCGACCTCAGTTTTCGGGATCCCGGCGCTCCGAGACTCTGCGATGTACTTCAGGTGTTTGGCGTCTTCAACTTGTTCCGCGGGTCGGAAGAACTGCCGGAAGTCGTCCCGATGCTCCGCATCGATGAGCTCGCGCACCAACGGATGCATGTAAGCAGCGGGATCGCAGGAAATCACCAGCTTGGTGCCCAACTCTTTGGCAAGGCAGTATGACCTCGGACGGTCCTATTTCCCACTTATACATGCTTCAACCCACAGTCACAGTCCCAACAAACAAGAGTCCTCAGGGAGGAGGGGGACAAGATGAGATGAGCCAAGGTACCAGCCACCAGGAGAAGCCCCGATATCCAATGCCAGGTTTCTGCCAGAGAACGCGCGCCGCAAGAGCTTCTCATCGCCTTCTTCATCCCTGGGTCCCAGATCCCAGCAGGAAGGCCCCATTTTCTAGGGTGATTTTCGGATTGTTCGGAATTCTTTAAACTCTCGCGAACTACTAGTTACCATGAGGGGATTGTTATCCTGAACTGTCAACCTCCCGCAAACTACAATGAAAGATACCACCTTGTGCTACCGAGTACAGACCGGCAGCGAGGGATTGTAGCGCTCGCAGATCTCAAGCAGCTTGAAGAAGGCCCCAGATGGTACGGCCCGTTGCTCCTTTTCGGGTACCATGATGCGCGGCATGTCCGCACTCCACCAAAACAGGCCGTCCACGTAGACGATACTGTCGCTCCGCCCTCTTGGCAAGACGAGGTCGCTTCGGGGCAAGTCCAGCGATGACTTCGTCCCATACGCCTTGTCTCCAGCACGCTGTTGCCAAGACCTGAAGGCCACGCCCCAAGGTGAGGCATCGATCGCAGACTGCAGGTTTGCTTCTGCCTCCCTTGGAAAGCAGATGAAGTGGCGGGCCCGGCGCACGAACTCCCAAAGCGAGGCTTGCACCTCACATGCGGCTCATGGAACTAGTGCAGTATGTACGATGTGTAACTGCCTACCATCTACGTGCCTATATCCCCCATCTACCTTTGTCTGCCGAACTACTTGTTACTTGTATCTACCTATCTAATCTAGTCACCTAGCTATCTGTGAATCTCAACTACTATCTATCTATTTATCAATCTATACATCTATGCATCCGTCGATTGATCCGTCCACCATTCGTTATGTCTGGTATCTTTCTAACTCATCTCATCTAACCGTCTATCTACCAATCTATATTTCTGTCTGTCTTTGTATCAGCTACGGATCTATCTCTCTTTCTCTATACCTTTCTTTCTCTCTATCTTTCGATCTGACCTATCTATCTATCTTCCTACCTATCTACCGACCCACCTCCCCACCTATCTACCTGCTTGCCTGTCTGCCAAGCCTACCGACCTACCACCAATGTCGATCTATAATGTGTATATACCTTTCGTTCTGCACACAATTGCTACATCATACAAATACAACTCAAATACATAAGTATGTTGATCTGTCTGTATATGTGTATGCTTGTATGTACATGTATGGAAATATGTGCACATATGCATAAACCTTTTCTACGCAGATTATGCTTGCATAGATCCCCCGAAACACTCATAAGACAACACGACCCAACCATGGCGGCCACGATCACGAGCACCACCAGGACGACCACTGCAACCAGAACGACCAGCACGACCACGACTACCACGAGAAAAAACAAGAGATCATGAGACGACCAGGAGACCCGGTGAAGACCCCAGGAGACCACCACCACCGGGATACTGCCAGCAGACCCCGAAGGACCACAAGGAGACCAACAGGAGACCGCTGGAAGACCGCAAGAAAAAACAGCAGGAGACCACCAGGACACAATGGCCAACATGCTTCCTCCGATGCCATGGCGGGATTCACAAGCATGACCACAATGCTTCAGAAAGATGACCAACATGAAATCCGGCAGGTATAGGCGAGATTGAAAGACACGACCAAGCTGCTTCCCTCATGTATTGCCGAGATTCTAACACTTCGATGTCTTACTGAGGCCGATGCACTGGAATTTGCAACGAATTGCCCTGTTCGGAGTGTGTAAATCATGGGACATGGGCACTTCTGGGTGCGCCTCCGCACACACACTAACCAAGTCTTTTTACTCTTGACGCTACCCCACAGTGTGGGACAAATACCTGTAGAAACACCCCTTACTGAAAGGATGTGTTTGCAATATTGGGATGCTTGTAAAGTCCGGTCCGACTGCTCCAGCTAGGCGAAGAACAACTGCACCTCATGCCACATGCCCAATGTATGAGTGAGATCTCTGAGATCTCTTCGAGCCCTTGACCGAGTTAACATGAACTTACTAAAACCGCAAAAATGTAAAGATACTGCGAACAGAAAACACAGCCCTTCCGGAAGTTGGCGCCTCCAACCCTAAAGCCCTAACCCCGAAAGCGATGGGAACCGGGCCTCTGGTACTGCGGACTTGCCCTGGAAAACTCGGGCAGCCACTGCCTTGGAAACCAGCAGCTTACTTCAATTCCTCAAGGGCTCCTTTTCATGGTATGATGTGGTATAATATTGTATAATATGGTTTAATATGGTATAATATGGTATAATGCCCCAGAAAAGGGCTCCGTATCAGGATTAACTAATGGTGTATAATATATGCCCCTACAATCTGAATTGTGCGCTTGCCCTTCTGAGGTTGCTAGCAAAACGCGCGCAACTAGGCCGAAGCCTCAACTCAAGCCCCTGCCATCCGGCACAACCCTTTTTACCTCCAAAAGCCCTACCTTACCTTTGTTTAGTAGGGACTGGAGAAATGGGGTACAATTATAACTACTATTACTACCATTTTTCCATTCCCTACTAACCAAAGGTAACCTACTTGGAGGTTCATGGGTAGTTATAAGTATGGTTATACGTCCCTTAATATGGGTTATAACTACAGTTATCCTACTTATAAACCTACCTATAACTAACCATGAACCTCCAAGCAGACCCTAAACCCTATACCCTCATAGAACCCCTATAGATCCCTTAAAAGGGACCCTTAAAGGAACCCTAAACCGCTTTCATCCAGTTGCAGGGTCGACCATACCTGGCCCTGCAGCGCCGAAGATGGCTTGCAAGTACTGCGAGCAGCAGTCCTGGGTCTCTAGTTCATTGCTGGGATAGGGTTAAACAATGTACATTTTTATTCCTTATGGGGCTCAAGTACCTATAAAAGTGTTAAAGGTTACCCAACAATGACGAAGGTCTGATCCTATGCAATTCCCAGAGAGCCCAATATCCCTTAATTAAGGAGTATAGCTTAAATCATAATGTGAATCCCCACATAATTGAGGGTATATTCCCTAATTAAGGAGTCTGATCCTGTGGAATTCTCCATATCGGGTCAAAACTTTGGGAAGCTTTACTACTTACTAACACAAAGAACGAAACAATCCCAAGGAACGCCTCAACCTCAGCATCCCGCGAAACCCTAAGCCATAGCCCCGCAGCACCCGGACTTCTACAATATATCTTCATACGTTTAAGCTTAACCCAATAGCCGTAAACAACCGTTTCAGGAGCAGCCAAGCTGCTACAAGGCTCGGGGCTTTCCGATCGCCACTAGCAAAGTAGATGCGCTGGATGACGGAGTGGAGGTGTACCTTCGTGTGGGTTTGCGGATTTGAGTCCAGCTTTTCTTCGCGAGCCCCTCTATTTAGTCAGCTGAAAGGCTTCGGGTGTTGTCTAGGCTTCGCTGCTTTAGTTTGGAGGCTCTTTTGTTTTCTCTCCGGCCAGCCAAAAGCTTCGTTTGTGGGTGCCCTGACCCATAACGGAAACTACCCTCACAAACAAATGCCAGACGACGGCCCTTCAAGCTTTAGGTAGTGTGTGAAAAAATCACACGTGTGAAAAAAATCACACGTGCATATGTATGTCTGTATGTACGTAGGTAGATAGGTAGGTAGGTATCTATGTATGTATGTGTATGTGTGTTCTACTATACTCTGGCTATGTTAGGAACGGTATCAGTAGCTTTTCATAGAGGTCACTAGGCTGGAGTACAGGGGCCTTAATAATTAGAAAAAGGGTTTTGGGCCCCTTGTACTGTAATTATACTAAGAAACTCCAAAATAGTATAGGAAACTATTGATTAAGGCCCCTAAAGAAGGTTCTTTCCTGGCTCAGAATAGACCGTTCCCAACATTGAATCAAAACGTGACAAGGGATGGCCGAGGCACAGGCATCCGCACCTGACGAGGCTGAGGAGGGTTTCTGGTTTTGACAAGAGACCCTGGGTCGGACCGATGGCAAACTAGGAAAAACACAGCATGACATCGTGGAATCGCCAAACCCTTGCTAGATGTCCTACGTTGCTGCATGCAGGCGTTCGGGATTAGGAATGCTGAAAACTCTCAAACCCTATAAGCCCCTAAACCCCACACCTTAACGCCTGCTTAATACCATCGTGGGTCTTGGCAATATCGCCTCGTAGCCATCTTCGGCCGTTTCACCGGGAGAGCCCAAGACCTCGCGAATCCGGTTTCGGGCGTGGTGTAGATAGACTTTTAGGATTTAGGCTTTATGGGTTCAGGGTAGGTTTAGCCTAGGGGCCTAGAGCCTTCTAGAGTCATTTAAAGATTTCGGATCTGCGGCTAAGGGTTTCAAATTGCGGCTTACATCAGTTCGCCCCATGGGTTTCAAGGTTTTGGGAGCAAAAGCTCCAGGGCTTCAGGCGCAAGGCCGTGTGGTGATGTCGAGCCTCCAAGACCGCAGATCGAGCATAATTAGATTACATATAAGGACCTCGAAATAACAAGGTACCCCTAATTTTCGGAAACTCCCAAACATTTGTTAGTACTGCACAAGCCGATCGGGCGGATTGGGTGGAACACGTTCTTGTCTTGGAGGGACGTTCGCCACTATACAGAAGGGATCTAGACTGTCTTAAGCCTCCTAAACCCGAAGGCTCGAGACTTCCTCGGTGCTTTTCTAAGAATCAAGAGACATCTATGGGCGAGACCTACACCCAAGCGGGGCGCAGTCGCGCCTCTGCCTGCCGCTGCCGGTACAGCTTCGCAAGGCTGGTCAGAACCTTCCCAGAAGTGTCCTTCGACGTTTCGTTCCGAAAGCACTACGGAGTGTAGGTCAGTGTAGGTAGATTCAGGTAGATTCGGGCGGGCATTCGGGCACGAGACTTTCTCTCTGATACTGTGGATGACTATAACGGAGACTGATCCGATATCTACAACGATGCACCTGAAACAGCGATTGTCTTCATCGTTGCCTACTAGCATGCAGCATGTACCACCACTGCCACCACCACAGCCGCCGTCAGCAGCAGCACCACCACCAGCACCAAAACCACCAAAAGCAGCAGCAGCAGCAGCAGCAGCAGCAGCAGCAGCAGCAGCAGCAGCAGCAGCAAGGGCAGCATCCACAGCCACAACCAGTCACAACTACAGCAACGACTACAAACTACTAACGAACCAAACGGTAGAGACAGCACCAAGAGCGGCCACCAGCATCAAGAGCGTCATCGCCAACACCACCAACATCGCCCGAATCAGCACAGTCGTTCTCATCCTCCCTCCCTCACAGAGAAATCAAAATCAACAAAACATCCACAGCCTCGAGCTTCGCCCAGTGAGACCTGCCGCCACAAGCTCGGAACTACTGTCCTTCGGAGGATCCAGCTCTTGGCCCCAGGACAGCATCACTAAGCGATCCCGGGTGCAGCTCGACAGCACCTGCACACGGATTTTGGCTTCGGATCGCTGTCGAAAGGCTTGCGGCTACGGCGTTCATCGTAGAGGGCGTGGGGCGTGTCGGTGAATTTTGGTGTACAGGGGTTTCGGTATCGGGTTGAAGGTGTCCAAGGTTAGATGCCTTCTTTGAGGAAAAGGCTCCTCATTGGTCTCCTTCGGGGACAAAATGATGGAAAAACGCTAAACGCTAGACCATCAATCATCAGCTCGGAAACCCTAACCCTAGGACTCTAAGGACTCATGCATTTCAGGCTTTTGGGCTCAAAGACCATAATATAAATTCCCATGTGGGTGGTTGTCAAAATTAGGGTCCCTTTTTGGGTACCCTAAATATTTGGTGCTGTGTTGTAATAAGGAGCCAGAAAGGGACCCTAATTTTGAGAACCACCCATGTTCAGGGAGGAGATCATGGCTTTCCAGATTGGGTTTACCAGGGTTGACACATGCTCCGCAAGGAAAAGAGTTTGCAGAAGCCAGTGGCAAGCAAGGGCTTCGGGCCTTCGGGTATTTAACTAGCAAACCTAAAACCCTAAACGCTGCACTGGGGGGTGGTCCGTTGAGGGATGATGACGGTGATGTGCCCCAATTATTTTGGTCGTAGTCCCTCTGCCCGTCGGAGTACGCGGCCCCACACCAACACCTACAAAACCCGGACATGGACTGACCTAGGCCCCAGCTCGCAAAGTGCAAGCACCTGTCCATCCAGGTATGCTGCCAGGCGTTCAGCTTGAGGAAAATGGCACTGCAGAAATGCTCGGGGCCGGGAGTGTCTTCGAGCCTCCTCCAGGGCTTTGGGCGTTAAGGAGCAAAATATTTCCCCGACGGCTGCACTGATGCCACATCAAAATCCTAAACCCTATGCCCACATCTAGTTTGGCATACGTACTGCGCTTAGGGTCCAGAGAGTCTTTCGGATGGATCACATCATGCGGTTGCCTGCGAGGCCACTGGTGGCAGGGCGCTCGAAGCAACCGAATAGGTTTGAGGTGGCAATAGCGAGCTCTTCGCAAGAAGGTTTTGGTGTGTGTTATGACTCTAGTTACTTAAAAAGGAAAACTCGAAAGAGTGTTATCCTCTGTCGTGGCTCCTGCTTGGCCAGAAGGATCTGGCGGAGTAAATCCTCGGAGTGATCTCCATCTGCCTCCTCCGTCTCTGCTTGCACCAGGCTTCGCAAGAAATCCAACTCTTCGTCCGTCGTTCCAAGCTGCATGCACAAGGGCTCATCCTCATCAGAGACCTAGTTCATGCTCGGGATAGGATAAACAATGTACATCTTTATTCCTTTTCGGGTTTCAGTACCCACGAAGATGTGAAATGTTACCCAACTATGACAAAGAGACAGGCTCGACCTCCTGCTCAGTCTCTTTGGCCGCTTTCTTTGCCTTCCGCTTCTGCCTCCTTTTCTCCTCACCTGGACAACTTGCGAGCTTGAAGGTCGCTGTGGCGAGGGTTTTATGTGAGGTCTTACACAGTCAATATAAAATGCAACGGCACAGCTACCCTTTTTGAATGACTGGTCTTCTAGAGGGGCATGAGTCTTCATTCTGATTCCCTAAACCCTTTTCAGCACGGGCTTTGGGCGTGTGCCGGCAACCCTAAACCGTTCTCAGCCCTGTCTTGTGCGTGGGGGCCCTAAGAAATCTTTTGGGTGTGCCCCCGGGTGCCTTTCTGCTCGTTCATTCGGTCCAACTCCGCAAACCAGGACTGGTCAATTCCGTCGTGAAATACCGGTCGATGGAAACCTTGGTTTCCCTTAAGTCAGAGGTTTCTACTTGGGCTTAGGGTTCAGGCTTTAGCATTTAGGGCCTAGGGCCCAGAAGAGTTCATTGAACGGTTGCCCAGTAACCCTTCTTAATATAAATCTAGCCCTTTTCTTTGGAACATTGTAAAGCTTTGATAAGGAGACCGCGTAATTGACAAACAAGGCAAACGGGTGTTGGACCTAGGAGCCATATTTGGAGGCTTGATGATTGCAAGGCTTCCCACGTGCCTTGGCGACCGTGGCACCTTCCTCCTTGACAGCTGCGGCCACCTCGTTTTGGACGAACATCTCAGTCCAAAGCTCAGCAATGCGCATCTGGGAAACCTGGTCACAGATGGGCCCCCTGGTAGTTCCTTTTTGGGACCACCTTTGGGATTCGAACTCTGAACCCCAACAGCAACATTCAAACAATGGCAGTTGCTTACGTTGGTTGAAAGTCGACCCGGGCCTCCACAAGGCGACGATGGCGGTGGATCCCATGTCTTAATCACATGCCCATGCCCTCATGGCTCGGTGGCGGTGGATCCCATTTCTCAACCCCGCCCCCTCAGTAGGCGATACCCGCGCCCGGGCCCGGATCAGGGCGGTCACCCAATTTCTTACACCCGCCCCGCTCCTTCGGCGGCAAGCTCGGCGATGACGGTTGATCCCATGACAAAAACCGGCCGCTGCACTAGGCGATGGTGAATGCACACCGATGAAACAAAGAACGATCATACCACCCACCTGTGCTAACATCACCGTCAACCTTCCAGGTCAGGATCGTGCAATCGGCCCTCTCAGTGCAAATTCTTCCTGACTGGGAAGATAAAGCTCCAGGGTTGTACACAGCTGCTTATCCCCAAACCTTTCAAGCACACAAACAGGCAGCTGCTATGGCGATCTGCTCCTCGTCATCAACATCATCCTCTGCATCATGATGTTTCACAACATTTACCAACAGCAGCAACAGCAACAACAATGCCAACAACAACAACAACAACAGTACCGGAGAGCTTTCACCCTCTGCATTTCTGTCCATCAATCATCAGGAGGGAGCGACAATCACAATCACATTCTCATGACTCTCTCACTGTGAATAGTCTGCTTCCTCGTTGCCACCACCGTCATCATCATACTTCAACCCGGAGCATCATCAGCAGAATCGTGGACATTGTCACCTCCGTCACTACCTTCACAGCCACAATCACCGCCGAAGACCACCATCATCGTCTTCGTCCTCGGCATCGTCACTGTCACCGCCATCACCAGCAGCACAAACTATCATCGCAGTTTACTCTGCACAATCTTGGTCATGGAGCCAGCTCATAGGCAAACGTAGGGTAAAGGGTGTATAGGCTTGGGGATGTGATGTTTAGCAAACTCGCGGCCTTGATGGTGAAGTGGCAGGGGGGCTTAGGCAGCTTCTCGTCCATCTGGCCAGCCAAGATCTCCACAACATCCCCTATTCGAATGTCCCTGTGGGATGTCACATATCCTCCCGGTGCAGCTTTGGATGAAGGTTCCGATGATTCGGAAATGTCGGTGTCGTCGCTGAACCGGATAACAAACTCCACCAAAAAGGAGCGCTTCGAGTCAGGGTCGACCATTAAGGCATCGTAAAAGTTGAGGTGCCCGAAGCTCCTTCGATGAAAAACACGGGCCCGTGGGGTCCAGGAGGAGCTCTCAGATCCGCCCAGCAAAACTGCCTCTATCCTGGGATCTTGAGTTTCATGTAAGCTACCATAAGAGGTGTCTATGGTAAAATTATATTGTTTCCTTGTTAAGGCATGTACCTTAAGTTGCCATGATAGGGGTCTATAGTAAACAAGACGGTTTCCCTTGTTCTGGCAACTTAGACTAAACCCTTTAACAATAACCCAGCATCTTGCCACGGAAGGCATCCAAGCCATCGTCAGAGCAGTGGCTCATGCTTCGAAGTTGCTACGATGGTCTGAAACCCCTGAGAGCTCAGGATAAAACAAAATGCCGACGACATCTTAGTTGGACTTAGTTTCCTATTGATTGAGGGTTTAGGGTTTAGGGTGGTTTAGGGTTTAGTTTTTCTGTCTCATCTTGCGAGCAACTGCAGGCTCGAGCCAAGAAACAGCTGGGCATGAACTCTGAGAAGGAGGCTTGGCATGAAATGCAGTCTTGCCTTGTGGCCACAAAATACTCGGACCCCCGTTCAAAAGCGAAGGGTAGATGCATGCTTTGCGGTGGTGCTCGCTGCAGTTGGCCCAGGGCTTCCAGCTGCGACAGCTGTTTTTCAAAGTTAGGGATTTGTCTTTCAGTTTCTCCGGACAAAAAGCTGTAGCGGGCAAAAGGGCCTGTGCATGCCATAAGCAGCCAAGTGGCTGCACGATAGAGCGCCACCAAGACCATCAGCCACGCCTGTCCCAACTTCTGAACATCGCAAGCTGCAATGACAGAGGCGCCTTGTTACTTCGATTACCGGCTTCGTTGATCCAGAGGAGACTCCACCCTAAGCCTGCACAGAGAGGCCGCCACGAATAGCTCAGGGCTTGGAAAGCAACTATAGACGGAACACTGCCTGGGTTCCTCGCAGTTGGACCTTCTGCCACTACTTGGGTGCCACATGTCAAGACGAGAATGAGAGACGCGGGCGCAGAGTATTGGCATCACGATAACTTGCGGCAACGCAAGGCTTCGCGATTGCAGCCTTTGGGAACCAGTAGGCTGACAAGGCCTCTAATTACACTCAACTCAATGCACAGATTAAGCAAAGGTCCGAAGCTACCACGACCCCACGCAAGCAAGGCTGTACACAAATTTCGCATCGCGCACTTAGCATTGCTCTCCCTGCTTCAAGACAATGCCAGTGCATTCCTACTCAATCTGTAGCACAGGTTAAACTCGACGGCGCACCAACAACTGTCGAAAGCCAGAAATCTCCAGTCGAATTCAACTAGATGTGATGGGGTGGGAAGAACGTTTGATTGGATGAACAGCAACAGCACGCACAGCATTTGTGCTACGGATGGAATTCAACTAGATGTGCGACTGAGGCTCGCACTTGCGCCAATGATGACACGCACAACGGTGACCACAAACAGAAGAAAAAAATGAGGACGACAACAGTATTGGCAACCATAACGTGATAACGCAAAGGTGATGACAATCACAGAAAGGCAATGTCTTGACTAACGTGCTCAACGAACGAGGACGACGACAGTACTAACAACGATGAGAAAACTCGTGACGACAACCGCACAAGGACAACATCGTGACTACCGCGCTGACCAGGCTAGATAGTAGCAGGAAGAACCCACGGATGAATTACACTGTCACAGCAAGACGAGTCAAGAACAAAAACAACCCATCACAAAGAAATCTCCACTCTTCCCAGGCCCCGGGACCCAGCGAAGGAACCAGCCGGACTGTGCACCAGGGAACTTTGCCTTGCTGCGACTTCGACCCATATGGGAGTTTCCGAAAATAGGGGACCCTAATATAGTACCCTAATTAGTAGGATGCTTGTTATAAGGACCCCAAAATAAGGTACCCCTAATTTTCGGAAACTCCCATATGACAGTAAATATCCGGACCGGGCTGCCGGCTACCGGGCTTCTCTCCAAGAGTAAAAGTAGGGACCCTTAATAAGGACCCCTAGGTATATACCCTTAATATAGCCATTATGTACCCATTCTATAGCCCATTATAGGGTAGGGGTCCCCATTAAGGGTCCCTCCTTTTCCCCTTTGATTCTCACTGTGACGGTTGTGCTTGAAGATCAAAGGCGGTCAAGGGTCAGGGTGGCCATGGCGCTTACCGTGTAACTACACTCTGAATCTCGATCTCTAGACCGGCCTGCGATGTCGGTTTCAGGCGACAGAACCGGTTCAGACATGAAAGGCATTGAATGTAAGATCGTAGTATCCAAACGAGAAACGATGTTAACTTGAGATGACATATTGCAAGCAAGGCAGCGACAAGAACGTAAAGCACTTCAGTACGATACAGCACGAGGTTTATCGAATGTTTTTATCCTCCTGAAACCCCGAATGTGTTTCCCGGAACATCCCGATCTGGGTTTCTCCACTCATCCCACTGAAATGTACGATTCGACATGACCCATTGCAGGCTCGTGTCACAGACTTGTGCAAAAGCTTTCGCCGGCTGTTTACACACTGCAATGTGTCCGCTTACTCTGCCTAGTCGGATCTGCGGTGGGGCAGCTACCATTTCTCACTGGAGGGGCCCCGAGGAATCTGCAAACAAGTTGCCAGCAGCCTGTGCCACAGCCAATCGCGCACTTCCTGCTGACCCGTGTTGTTTATTCACCGGCTGCGAGGCATATAATAATCACACTATGAATAAGTAATGATACTATCAATGGTAATAGTACTACGTAAGTAATGATACTATCAATGGTAATAGTACTACGAATGGTACAGTTATAGTACTAATAATAAAACGAGTAGTAGTAATACCAATAACAAAAGTAATCTGACAATAGTACTAACATCAATGGTAATAGTACTACGAATGGTACAGTAATAGTACTAATAATAAAACGAGTAGTAGTAATACCAATAACAAAAGTAATCTGACAATAGTACTAACAGTAACAATGGTACGAGCATTAGTAACAGTATTAAGAGTAGTAATACCAACAACAAGCGTAAAAACAAAACGAACAGTACTCAGACTAACACTACTAATGGTAGTAATGACAGAAATCATGGGAGTAACAAAGAAGTAATAATAAGCAGAGTCTTATGATGATACTCATGCTTTTAATGCTTAATCTAACAAAAACACTAATACAAACAACAGTAACAATAATTGCCATTTTCAATCAATATTAAATGGTGATATGCTGATCGAGGAACAGCTAAACGGGCATGCAAGTTATGAAGTGCTAAGCAGACTACGATGAGAGCTACAATCTACAAGCGGCATCCTGAAAATTCCAAGCCCTGCACTCTAATAGCCCATGTCTTCCATAGTATACATGTCTAGAACGACGATGACGACTACTGCGACTACTGCTCCCGCTGCTCCTGCTGCTGGTGCTACCACTGCCACTACTACTACTACTACTACTACTACTACTACTACTACTACTACTACTACTACTACTACTACTACTGTTACTACTACTCCTACTACTACTGCTGCTACTACTACTACTACTACCACCACTACCACGACAACAGCAACTAGCACCCCTACTGCCACCCCCGCGGCCACGCAATCTTCGTCTTTTTTCGGTTGTACTGCATAGTTACCATTTGCTACTAGAAGAAACAGCGACATCATAAGTCAACTAGGGCTGCTTAAGGCTCCGAGCAAGGGTCTTTCTATTTCCTGAGCCACGGAGAACTCCGGACGAGTAGCTGCAAATGTCTGCACCGCAAGCGTGAAGGACAACGACAAAGAGGTAGCGGTGGACAGGCCGATCCAGATCCTGACCCGGATGTAATTTCGCATCTCAGAGACGCCCTTATCTACGAAGGGCCCTACTGCCCTACTGACGGGAGAAACACCGCACCCTGAGACATAGTAAACAGTACACTAAACATGACATGAATTTCCAGAAAATATTCATGGCAGAAGAAGAACATGGCAAGAAAAGTCTCTCAATGTAAGTGGAAGCCTACAGCACCTTCTCCCCGCACACCACTTCTGTCGGCTGTCTCCAGAGAGCACTGCCCTGATCTCACGAAGCGCGCGTTGTACGCAACAGTGCGCAAAGAGCAGATCTTGCAGAACTTCAGCACAGCTCACCTATAGCAGCAAGCCGTCTCCCCACAGCAGGAACCGATCTTCAAGGGGTTTTTGCCGAAGTGTCGTTCTCTGCAAAGAAGCGTAGAGTAATGGGGTGTTGGAGTGAGAGCTCGAAGGGAAAGGGTTTTCCCCTGGTATATAGGGGCCTAAAAAAAACTGCGGTTTTGGGGCCCGTTATACTATAACAAAAGGAACCCCCGATCAAACTGGGCAAAGGACAAAGCGATCTTCTGCGGCCGGAAGTCTTGTCAGCGAGAGAGGCACTCTCGAAGAAGACAAGGAAGATGCCTGTGAGAGATTTCTAGGCCTCTAAGATCCATGGCAAACTATATCTAAGCTCGTTATCTTCCAAGTACAACCAGTGAAGCAGCATTGACCCAAACCCTAAGCGCTAAACCCCTAAGCTCTAAACTCTAAACCCCTAAACCCTAAACCTATATTCGGACCAGGTTGGACCTAGAACTGATCATGCCTTAATCTCAATCGGATTGCCCGAATCGGAAAAGACCCTAATGTAGTAATGTAGGAACCTGATTAAGAAACCCTGGCACCAAGGTTTCTTTCTACGTTTTCAATTGAGAGGAATGTGGGAATTTAGATAGGGGATCCTACTACAACGTCCGGAATTCTATCTGTGGTACTGTAGTCTCCATTGTAATTCTTTTTTTGGTGTTACTGGAATCTTAATTATGTAATCCATTCGCTAAAATCAAAAACAAGAAACTGCAATGGAGACTGTAGGTACGATCCTTAGAGCAAGGGCCCCCGAACTCAGCCAGAGACCCGCAGAAGGAACTATGGGCTCGCTCCGCTTCAAGCTTGATCCATGCAGAACTCTGAAGGAAGGGTCGGCCCGGTGCAAGCGCTGATGTATAGCCCCAGAGTTCGACAAGGATTATTCACAACCACAAAGATGAGAATACACACACATATATGTATATATATGTGTATATATATACATAGACATATACATATACGTATGGATGAGCGTATACATGTAGCTACATGAACATATGCATATGCACATGTATCATGTTAATATCTCTGCATTTACGTAGTATATATTTATATACATACATACATATATATATACACATACAAGCATACACACATAGACTCATAGATATAGCAGGATTGTATACGCAGTTTTCTTCCTGGTGCGCGCTATCAGTCGCTCTCGAAGCGGACTGCTCAACTGTGGCCAGCGGCCGCCCTCGGCGGTGCCCTCAAGGATCCTCTAATTAAACAGATCTACAATACAGTTTGGGTTTAGGGTTTAGGGTTTAGGGTTCAGATCTACAAGTCTAGGATACCCAGTAAGCTAAGAATAAAATGGCCTCTCTTTTTGGTATTGGGTAACTTTATAAGGAACCTAGGACTACAAAAAGGGAATAAGGGTACTACTGGAGATCCTAGAAGTGTTCCATAAAGGCTTTGGCGTGGTGGGTTCGGATTGCTTCAGCTGGAGGTCTGGAAAGGCCTTAACTTCATCAGTCATGAAGCCTACACGCAATAAGCGCTACAGCCCTATCCCCCACAACATTTGGAGGGTGGAGCTGGAAATCATCCCCAACGGGACGGCTCACAGCTGGCACACGCGCAACTAAAGTTCAAAATTGATAAGATCTACAATGTACAAAATCCTCCCATGTATGCCCACATTCAACACAGAGCTGGGCTTAAAAAGGCTCGCATGGCAGGAAGGCCACTTGCGGCTTTTCTGACTTCGCTGCAGATCAACCTGGGATTGGTGCTGAAGGTCTAAAGGCCTTAGGCCGCCCAGCCACATGCATCTTTTACCTTCCATTCTTTCCTCGCCACGCTTGCCCCGAAGCCATCTCCCAGTTGTGGGAATGGTGTCTCAAAATGAAAGTAACCTTCCGGCTCCCACCAAGCAAAACTGACACGCCATGAGTATGGGACTGTTTTTGCGCTCTCACTCTCTCTGAATCTACCGACATATTTAATGCTTCCATTTCATTTGTGTATGATCTTGTTCACGTGTTCATTTCTTTGCTTAGGATTATGGTTGTCATCGAAATCTCAAAAAGATTGATGGGATCGGCGGGATGACAAGTCCTTGTCAGCGCGTGTAAAAGAAGTGGAGACAAAATCTTCCACCTGCGGTAATTTATCACCGCACACCTCAAGGTGATGCGGACGAACACTGCACATGCAGTCACATGAGTCACATGCTTCCGTATACAGCCTGAGCTGCTGTCAAAATTGTTCAAAGCTTGCTGTCAAAATTGTTCAAAGCTTGCTAACGTGCCTTGGCCCAGCTCGATTACACAGAACGGGCACGGACAATGGGAACACGGTGAAATGCTGCTTCGCCGAGGTCAGGACGATCAGTAGTTGCTACTGCTGCGGCCGAGCTCTTCCGTTCAACGCTGTGGGGAAGCAGACAATGGCAGAAGTGTCGGCGAGTTGCTTTAGATCTGCAGCTGCGACTGGAGCAGATCTGAACAGGTCAGGCCCAAATGGTGTACCCTCATAACAACAGAAACGCTCCAGCCGCAGAGGCTTGAGAAATGCCTTTCAGCGTCCCAGGAAGAGCATTCAAGGATTTCTGCCACCTGATGCATACCTGGAACCTTCCCGCTGCTCAGCTTACCGAAGCTAGACCGAAGAGCTAAACCCGCTCAAACGTCCTCTTCGAATGGCCCCTCGGACAGCTCCATAGGATCACCTTTGCACACCCAAAAGGTCCAAGTATCATTCTGGTATATACTTATAGGCGTATAGGGTATTTTGGGGGTCTAAGTATATACTAGACTATAATGATACTTGGACCCTTTGGGACAATGGTCTGTTCTTTACGTGGCTAGGTAGTTGCCGCTCTAATCGCACCAAGTGGAGCGGGCAGGGCAGTGGTGGCTTCTTTCTGGAAAGAGTTAAGGGGGAGCCGTGCTCTACTGACAGGGCACAATGCACAGGCCTTTGCATTTCAGTGAAACACACAGGTCCTGAGGTCACGAAAGAAAAACGCAAAGGCAGCATCGTCGGCCGCCCGGGTGGGGCTTCGTGGCTGGACACGTAGCGGTTTTGTATATATATATATATATATATATATATATATGTATATTCGGTTCAGGGTTTAGGGTATTCTATATATGAATAAATAAACAAATGTATAATGTATATATATATATATAATATGGAGGATATCAAGTAAAGTCCCGCGTGTAGACACCAAGGATGAGCAGTAGACCCGACAATCTGTAAAAAAAACTAGCAAGATGCTTGAACCTGAAAATCCCCACCAGCAGTGGCTGGTCCCATTCCCTGTTCCGTGCGCACTTATCTGCTCGCAAACTTCCGTGCTCAGTTGCACTATGCTTCGAGCGATCAGGCCGTAATATAAGGGCCTTATTAGTTAGAAGAGGGTTTGGGGGCACATATAATACTACGACTGTATAGTACTGGTAGTTAATTATTTAGGTCCCTATTTTAGCGTTGTGAAGCGCAGAGATGCAAGTACTCCGAACGGCCCGGCAAGTGAATTGTGGTATAATGTGTAACCGAAGGGATATGCTGTTTCCATATCATGGCAGACTGCACGAATGTGCCAAAATATTAACACATTAGCTGCTACATGCGTACACACATACTTGCATACATGCAAGGCATACCTACCTAAACACACATAAGTACACACATACATAATCATACGTACATAGATATGTACATGCATACATGCATGCTTGCTCGAGGCATACATGCTTTCATGCAGCTACATGCATACATACATACATACATACATACTTGCATGTATGCACACGTACATACCTACATATCGACCTAAACACACATACATCCACCCACATACTTAGTCATACACAGACATACATACGTACATACATGCCTGGACCCCCAAAGTATGTAGAATAATGGCCGTTTATAGGTTATGGGCCATTATTTTACCTACTTCGGGGTTTAGGTACATACATACATACATATGTAGCACTCGCACTCGAGAGACTGAGGCGAAGTTTCAGGCTACAGCACCACAAACATGGATACTTACGTACATCCATCCATCCATCCATTCAGGCAGGCAGCCAGCAGGCAGCATGCATACAGACATGCAGACATACTACAGACACTAATTAAAGCACCTACATGTATACATATGCTCATCTTGTTCTCCCTACTGTCTCTCTCTGACACACAGACACCCCAACTATGGAAAGATCGACGTAGTAACAGGACGGCAGTGAAGACTGTAGCCAATACATGCACAACCGGCAGCGTTTTGATTGTCAGATGCTTATTCTGGGAAGGCGCAAAACTTCGACAAGCTAGCACCAACCGCCAACCTTGTGCGTGAGAGTGGCCAATTACAACCAACTCCGCCGCCGTAACCAAACAAAGCTTTTCACAAAACAGAACAGACGGCTTCTGGAATGAAGTCTCCACGGGACATATCATATCCTTGGGGGCCTAACTTGCAATCTTTCGAGGCGGAACAGAGTCGTCCCCAAGCTAGTAGAAGATCTTTAGCTACAAGCTCAAAGCATCCGGAGCCGCCCGAACGCCTTTTACTACCGTACTCCAACCTACTTTCCGCAATTATCTGCAGGGTCGAAATAACAATATATGACAAGGTTGGGTCATGTTCTATTCTACACCCTGAAGTCAACTCTGCAAACACCCGCCACTTCATCGCTGAGTGGCTGGGAATTGCGCCAGGAAGTGAAACTCTTGGTGGCGATGGCTTCGCTTCGGCACACTTCGGCCTGCCGACGAGTACAGCGATCGCGTCTAGGTAAGACAACATGGGAGTTTCCGAAAACAGGGGATCCTAATATAGTACCCTAAACAGTAAGATCCTGATTATAAGGACCCCAAAATGTCGTCGCTGTCGACAAAGGATCGCATCGACGGCGTTTGAATATCGGAAAGCATGAGGTTTCGAAGCCCCTAAACCCTAAACCGATGTCATGCAGCAACCTTGGCTGCGAGACAAGATAAGGAGGAACTTCAGCTACGGTAACGGCTGAGCTGCTGCTCATGACATGAAGTTCGTTGTATCATAACGGGGGCCTCAGTGATTAGAACAGGAACCCTTTTGCAACTGGCCTGCTGCGACGCCGCCAGAACAGGAACCCTAAACCCCTAAACCCTAAACCCTTTTTTTGCATCGGGCCTTTACCACCGCCCGGTAATCCCCACATTCGCTTGACGAAGTGTGCTAAACCCTAATCCCCTAAACCCCTAAACCCTATATGATTATGCGGTACATCATAGTACGAAAGATGCGACAAGGAAGCTTCAGGCTTCAGCGCTAGCCGCAGTATGTGGGTGGTTGTCAAAATTATGGTCCCTTTTGGGGTCCCCAATATAGTACGGCACCGAATATTTAGGGTACCCAACAAAAGGGACCATAATTTTGACAACAACCCATATGTTCGCTGTATATCAACCTGCGAACGGGCCAGAGGTGTAGAAGTCAGAGCAGTGTATGCATGCAGAGAGAATGAGGTCTGCCCAACGGAATACCATCTTTGGGGATCGGAGTCACAGCTAGTTCATTGTTGGGATTGGATTACACATGTACATCTTCATTCCTGATTGGATTTAAGTACTCATAAACATAAACATGTAAAATGTTACCCCAACTATGACAAAGACAGATTCGGTGTCTGCCATGAGAATCGCAACGTGTGCTCTTGGCTCCGCGTGGCAAACGAGAGAGGGGGTGGATAAGAGGCGGGGCCTTGGGTGTAGAGCGGACGTAGCCGGGATCAGCAATGGTAAGTATGCGAGTCGAAAGCGTGCCGGAACAGAAAGGTTGTTCTCAGACCGACTGCTGCCGTTTCGGTGCAGGCGTCGGCGCTGAGACGCTGTCACTTGCGTCTCTCTGTTGCCTAGAACGGCACGTGCAGCCCAAGTTGGTTCGAAGTTCGCATCATGAAGCACAACACCTGAACACCAAAGACTCAGCAGCACAGCTCCCCGGAAGAATCCCAAACCTTGAGCCTGGTCTTGGCCACAAGTGACGTCATCCGCACCCGTTTCCGTGCTTCTCGCAAGATACCGCGGAAGACCTTGGGCCATGGAGTCTCAGACAAGAACTGAAGAGTTTCGAATTCAGATGGTCTTAAATCAATTTCACAGAGGCCGTCTGCCTTTTTTCAAGCCGGACTGCATGGGCCTTGCAGCTCCGCCATAGGTTTGGACATCGCAAATCTTCGCATGTGCTAGTTTTCCGGCTGTGAGCCAGCTACAGCAAGACGTTACAACCTCGCGCTGGGAATTTTGGGTTGGGAAACGAGCCTATCGATTGCCGTCATCATGGTGCAAGGGAGAGCCGGCCGCTAGTTTGTAGATGGTCAATCAGCCAAGCGCCCCAACTGCAAACCAAGATGCTGCAATGCGGACACAGTACCTTGCAACACTCTGCAAAAGCTTGGGAGTAGGCCCAGTACTACCCGGCTAAAAGACTGGCACAGGTGGGAACTGATGGGTATGGCAGATCGAGGCGCAGAGGCTTGATATGCGCAGCTCGCTTGTAAACACCACAGCATACCACAAGGTCGATAGTAGTCTCCGTAAACCCTGCAGAGGCTCTGAAACTGAACCTGCCATGGACTTATCACCCTTCTGCTGCCGACGCGCCGTCGAACAATCGAGGCCAACTCAGGGCAGGTGCTCCTCCTCGCTTCCACCACGGCCATGAAGTTCTCCCTTGTCAGGAAAAACACCTCAGCACCCTAACCTAGGTGGCTTGGTAGTTAGGAACCGGATATGGTTTTGGGTTTTCGGCATATGATACAAGACATTGGAGTTGGGATTATTCACGATAGAATGGGATAATTCCAAAAGTTAGCTCGGGTTTGCCTCTGCTGCAAATGCAAAACTTCTACCTCGAGTCCAGAGTACATTCTTACCCTTTCCGGCCAAGCATCCGGGACTTCAGGGTTCAGGGAACAAAAGCCCGAAGCAAAATGCCCGAAACACCTCAAATGCTAGCGCTTTCCAACACCGAAAGAGCAGCACAACTCTTCGTGTCAGCTCGTCTGACGAGGAACTGGTTGCTGCCACTCGCTTGTCAAGCATTGCCAAGGACCCGATCTTGAAAGTTCTAAAGCGTTTAGAATGCTCTTAGACGGTCCCCCATTAAGGGTCTCGGGGCAGCCTGTGTAACACCCAAGCGGCTTCACAGTAGGACATGGCCACGCAGTTCACCACATGGATGAGAGACTTGTCGGCCAGGACGAAATCTTCCCCCCAGACCTGGGCCAGTGAAAGACAGACCGAAAGGGACGTTTTAGTGTTTAGGGTTTCAATATTTAGAATAGGGTTGTGGGGTCCATGATACTATACTATTATGATAAGGGACCCCCAGAATCGTATTGGTAACACTTTGGGCCCCTATACCGTTGGAAGACAGACCACGGGTTTGATTCTGTATTCGGCTATGCTGTGCTAGAAGCTCTGGGACAGATCTGAAAAGGGCCGTGGGGTCTACTTAAAGAGCCCAATACCCTTAATTAAGGAATATACCTTAAATTACAGGGGGATTCACATTATGTTTTAAGCTATATTCCTCCATTAACGGGTATGGGGCTCTCTGGGTAACTCGATCCAAGGCAAGCAATGTCGGCAGCCATGGTCGGGCGGTTAAGCGCTAAGGCAAGCTTTCGCGGTTGGCTTTAATCCAGAATTTAGAGTCGAAGGGTTTAAATAGGAGTTAAAGGTTGAGCGCTGAAGGATTTGAAAGTCTTATGGTTCCAGGTCCTTGGGACTTCAACGGTTGAGAAATTCGGCTTTAAGCGGCAAGGGCTGCATGGTTGCGGGATTATTCTTGGATTTGTTTGCAGTTATCGCGAAGATGGATCAGACGAGTTAGAGGCACGAAATACCAAAAGATAGATCCTTCTCGAACGATGGCTTGTTGACTCACGATGTTTGCCTGAAGCCGAGCTCGAACCCTGCAAGAAGGAAGATTTGAACAGCGACAATCCCCCCCGAACAACTAGTTGCAACCCGAGATCAAAACGGGTGGTGTCCACCTAGAAGCCCGGACACCTATCTACCAGAAAAGGGTATCGTCCCTAAATGAGCCTGAAACACAAGTTTTGTGTTGATGCTACGAGGAAGATGTCAAAACGGCAACGTACTGCATCCTACTCTTGCTCCGCCTCAACTCTAAAACTGTTTCGGGAGAGACTCATAGTCCGACCTCGTGAAGCCTGTGAAACCCTAAACACGCAAAAAACCCTGAACCCCTGGTGTATTAACCCGCGATGTTGTGCTTCTGGAGAGTCCCGCAGATAGTCTAAAGCCCGAGCAGCAGTGCCCATCTTTCCAAATCCTGGGTTCTTTTTTGCTGATATGCCAAGGACAGGGTTTGGGGGTAGTCATAACAAGGAATCCTAAGGAACAGATATTGGTAATTGCTCAGGCCTCTGCCCTGAGAGATTGGATTCGGAACATGGCTCGTAGAAGGACACAGCACCCGCCAAAAGGTTAAACACAAGGAGAACAAAAAGCACACAGCATCCAGATAACCCCGTCAAAGCCACAAAACCTTCATCGGGTCTGATGATGCCTCTGATCCTCCATACAACATTTGTGAATCTTCAACCCTAAACCCTTTTGCCTTGCATGCGACCAACCCTAAACCCCTAAACCCTAAAGGAGCCCTATAAGATCTCAGAATCTGTTGTCCAGAGCAACGAGTCCTTTGGACAGGATGTGGAGTACCTCGAAAGGGCTCCCTTGAGGCTTCCTTTTGGGGGGTAATTGGAGGTTCATGGCTAGTTATAAGTAGGGTTATAAGTAGGATAACTATAGTTATAACTACCCATATTAAAGGACTTGTTCCCCCACTTAACACTACCCTAAGTAAGGTTGTAGGATCACGTTAAAAGGACTCCTTTGACTAAATGACCGTTCTACTTCGGAGGTTTACACCTGGAAACATCATAAGACATCCAAAGAGGAGTTTGTTTGAAGACGTTTGAAGTTTGGTGGAAATATGTTAAAGAATGCACAAGAAGAAGCTGGAAGATGTTTGCAGGTCAGGCGTTGGAACGCTGATGCTTCTTTTCTTGGGGTTCGACATTTTCAGGTCGGGATTTGGTATTCGTGTGCAGTCACGGTCGCTTCTGCGACGTTCCTGATTTCGCGCCACAAACCCCAAGAAGTCCTGCACTTGTAGTTTCCCCCCCCCCCCCCCCGTAGTAACCCTCGTAGTAGCTCTAAAGTGAACCCCAGAAAGGTGGAACATGGATTTAGGACGATTATGGCTGGGATTTCCTATACTGTACTTTAAGGGCATGGGGATAATGATGTTCCAACTTTCTGGCTTCTGCATCTTCTGCTATAAACTGTAAACCAGTTTCTAGCAGGGCGCCTGGACATTGGTAAAGCAGTCTGCCTGCGCATAAGCCGTGCATTGGAGTCTCCGGGAGATGTCTGCGATGCAGGCTTCGAAGGTGGCAGTATGCATACCTGGGAGTTTCCGAAAGTTAGGGTCCGGGCTCCTTATAACAAGGATCCTACTTTTTAGGTTACTGTAGTAGGCCCCCCCCCTATTTTCGGAAACTTCCACCTCGGGAGGCCATCCTCTCGGTGAGGTTCATGAACTGTAGGAAGAAGGGCACCTTCCTTGGAGCAGTCTGACCCATCTTTTGCTGAGGTTGCATAGACTCCGCTTTGGATCGCACGGGCATGGACGGCCTTAACCCAAAACCTCAATATGATGTGATCTGATATGGCATGATAGGATACGATGTGATGTGATAAAGTCAATGTGATATGTTATATCTAAATAACTAGAGTATCATATTGGGCGGCAACTTAAGCGGGGAACGCCTACCAGCGGGGATGGGGCGTACCTAGAGGCTCGGACCGGGTCCGATTTTCACAGGGGTCATTTTTGAAGACTGCGGAGTGGTCCACTTTGCATGTTCATAGCGAAATCCATACCGAAATGAGGAACCGTGGATCGAAGGTTTTTGTTTTGCGAAGCCTTGATATGAAGTCGTGCATCATGGTTTGGAGAAGCTGTTCTTTTAAAGGTTTCCATGCGAAGAGGGCCTTGTGTTACCGTGCGGGCCAATGCAAAGTCTTTGCTGCAAAAATCTTGAACAGGCTGGCTGGCCTTGTGAGCTTCCTTGATAAATCGACCAACATGTCTGTAGGGTTGGCACTGGACGTTGTTAAAGCAAAGCAAGCGTGTGTCATGCACAGGATGTCTGGGAATCACTCAGAGTCGACCTGCTCATAAAAAGGGCTGTGGTGAAACCATAGACAAAAGGGTTTAGATCGAAGTGTACACCACACAGGTAAGACAATCCACTTGTGTTTCAAGTGCATGCAGTGCAAATGCATCGGCACGCAAACAAGGGCTGAAATGCAGATGCACAGCAATGAACTGCCTAGATCAGATCGTTCACAAGGAGGAATTGCAGCAGTGTTGCAGAGACAGAGAGCCAGCCAGGCAACAGGACGTGCACAGCAAGTGCCATGCAGAGACAGAGCAACTGCAGATCAAGCTCATTGCACAGGTGTATATTATATGTGTCCAAGCACATTCACATGTCAACTGCAGTTTAATGCTAAGGACCACGACTGCCGGGGCTTTATTATATTGCCACCAGGGACCGAGGGCAGATCAAGTGCCAGCCAAAAACGTTTCAAGTGCAGCTGAAGGGCGAGTATCAATCATGGCATTGGTTCAGGAAACACAAGCAAAGCACAACTGATCCAGCGTGATTGAAACGCTTTTCAAGGGCAATTCAATGGTAAGTATGTTTCCGTTGTTTAACAGCGAAACCCAAACCAAATACAGATCAAGCGCATTTCAAGCGCATTTCAAGCGCATTTCAAGCGCATTTCAAGGGTAGGGAGGCTTGCCAGGCCTTGGAGGAATGCAAGGAGCAGCGCGTTTCAAGCGCATTTCAATAGTAAGGTGGATTCCATAAAAGAAGAGGAGGTCCCAAAGCAAATGCAGATCCAGTGCCTTTCAAGCGCAGTTCAATTGCATTTCCAAAGAGAAGGATTCCGTGCTTTAACAGCGAAACCCAAACCAAACGCAGATCAAGCGCATTTCAAGCGCATTTCAAGGGTAGGGAGGCTTGCCAGGCCTTGGAGGAATGCAAGGAGCAGCGCGTTTCAAGCGCATTTCAAGCGCATTTCAAGCGCATTTCAAGCGCATTCCACTAGTAACGTGGATTCCATAAAATAAGAGGATGTCCCAAAGCAAGCGCAGTTCAATTGCATTTCCAAAGAGAAGGATTCCGTGGTTTATCACCGAAACCCAAACCAAATACAGATCAAGCGCATTTCAAGGGCATTTCAAGCGCATTTCAAGGGTAGGGAGGCTTGCCAGGCCTTCCAGGAAAGCGCATTTCAAGCGCATTTCAAGCGCATTTCAAGCGCATTTCAATAGTAAGGTGGATTCCATAAAAGAAGAGGAGGTCCCAAAGCAAATGCAGATCCAGTGCCTTTGAAGCGCAGTTCAATTGCATTACCAAAGAGAAGGATTCCGTGCTTTAACAGCGAAACCCAAACCAAACACAGATCAAGCGCAGATCAAGCGCATTTCAAGCGCATTTCAAGGGTAGGGAGGCTTGCCAGGCCTTGGAGGAATGCAAGGAGCAGCGCGTTTCAAGCGCATTTCAAGCGCATTTCAAGCGCATTTCAAGCGCATTCCACTAGTAACGTGGATTCCATAAAATAAGAGGAGGTCCCAAAGCAAGCGCAGTTCAATTGCATTTCCAAAGAGAAGGATTCCGTGGTTTAGCACCGAAACCCAAACCAAATACAGATCAAGCGCATTTCAAGGGCATTTCAAGCGCATTTCAAGGGTAGGGAGGCTTGCCAGGCCTTCGAGGAAAGCAAGGAGCAGCGCATTTCAAGCGCATTTCAAGCGCATTTCAAGCGCATTTCACTAGTAACGTGGATTCCATAAAATAAGAGGAGGTCCCAAAGCAAGCGCATTTCCATTGCATTTCCAAAGAGAAGGATTCCGTGGTTTATCACCGAAACCCAAACCAAATACAGATCAAGCGCATTTCAAGGGCATTTCAAGCGCATTTCAAGGGTAGGGAGGCTTGCCAGGCCTTCGAGGAAAGCGCATTTCAAGCGCCGTTCAAGCGCATTTCAAGCGCATTTCAATAGTAAGGTGGATTCCATAAAAGAAGAGGAGGTCCCAAAGCAAATGCAGATCCAGTGCCTTTCAAGCGCAGTGCAATTGCATTTCCAAAGAAAAGGCTTCCGTGGTTTAGCAGCGAAACCCAAACCAAACACAGATCAAGCGCATTTCAAGCGCATTTCAAGGGTAGGGAGGCTTGCCAGGCCTTCGAGGAAAGCAAGGAGCAGCGCATTTCAAGCGCATTTCAAGCGCATTTCAAGCGCATTTCAATAGTAAGGTGTGCCAAACCAAAAACAGATCAAGGGCACTTCAAGTGCGTTTCCGACACATTTCAATGATAACCAGGATGCCATAGGTAAACGAAACGAAAAGCACATACAGATGAAGTGCACGCCTTACGTTCTTCAAACACATTGGATGGCAGCAAGGATTGCACACACACACAGACAGACAGACAGACAGACAGACACACACACACACACACACGCACACACTTGCTTGAGTTGCCAAACAAATCACGGGGCATTGGGCAACAAAATATGTGTCAGTAATCAACCCTTCTCACTATTGTCATGAGAAAAGCAAGCATTCCAAATCACAATTGTCATTTCAAACCCTGCATTCCCAGGTCCGGCGAGGTGTGCTTATTGAACTGTCGAAGTTAGCATTACAGATATGACTTGGACTAGAAAGAAACGCCCTGCGTGTGGTCGCAACGACCAATCCGACTGGAAGCAGCGCAGCTCTGGCAGTCTGGATCTCTGGGTGTCCTGCAATCCATGACAGTCGCAGCTCTATCGAATCGTATTTGTTCGGAACATGTTTGGAGTTTAAACCATAGGGGTTTAAGGAACAGGTTAAGGGGTTAGTCTAGTGTAGGGTTTGGAAATTACACGTTCAGGCTCCCTGACGATGACTGGACGGGCATGGGGTTCAAAACTACACACACTGCACTACTGCCTACTCGGGGCTTACCTATTCCAGCGGCAGCAAAAACAAACAAAAAAACTCATGCATTGCTAATGCCTAGGATGTGAAACCTGAGACTCAGAGTGCTATCAATGACGAATGAAATTGAGAAGCTTCTGAAATGAGCTGCAGCTCCAAGTTATAATTTCTTGAAAGGGCGATTGCTGGCTAACATCTACAAAAAGTATTATTCCGTATATGCTGGCTTGAATCATTGATTCCACATAGACTAGACTTTGATTTCAATAATTTTGACTACATTACGTATGTATACTAATACATTAGGTAGCCGACGCACATTTTCAACCTGGGCACTGCGGGAAAGTCGAGCGTCCGTGCTATGCGTGTGTCTCCTCGTCCTCCGAATCATCGAAGTCCAAAAGAACCTGCGAGTCGAACTCCGGTGTGTTGTACCTTCTCAGTGCCGGCACTTCAAGTGCACGACGGGGACCACGACCTGCCCTGCTGCTCTCATTAAGGGCACGGAGTCGTCCATAGCAGACCAGCGTGGCCCAAAACGTCGCGGCGAAGCAGCTCGCTTCAAAAGCATTGCCAGCAAGATCTGCCAGCAGGCTCTGCGGGAAGTTTTCCAGTCGTGTGTCGTCCTCCGTGAACCATGCCCCTTGCAAGCGCAACGACTCCAATGGGAGCATGCACCGGCACTCCGATGTCAAGTACCGCTCGCCCTTTGGTGTCACGCACGGCGAGTGGTTCGTTAAGTGGGCAAACTTGTCCTGCGAGATGTCGACGACCTGAAGAGTCTCGCTTGGGAAGTTCCTCACGCCAAGCTTGAACAAAGTCCTGCGTTTTCGGGCCGTCATGCACTTGAGGTACGGCCGTGTCCGAGCTGCCCGGCGGAATTTCTTTAACCAGTCCTTGGTGACGATCTTCTCACGTTTCAGGGTCCGGGTGCCCGACGAGCATGTGCTGAGGTGGCTGAAACTTGTTGCCCGGCTTGATGCGAAGGATTGTCGCCGGAATTCTCCCACCAGTCTGTCCTGCGGCTGTGACTGAGTGTCCTGCGACTCCTCTACCTGTGAGTCTTGTCGTTCTGCCCGGCGACGACGAGCCCGTCGTGTTTGGAGCTGCTGCAACTTCTTGTTGTACTCCGTGGTGAACTTCGCCATATGCAGGCACCTGCATCAGAACAGAATACAAGTAGAAAGTACTTATTGCATGAGTACACCTAGAAACACACCTGCGAACCTACATTTAGCACTACGTCCCTATTTTTCAATCAAGGCAGTACAACAAGCCGTGGCATGAAAGAAGTATCTTGAAGAAACCTGATCCTCCCGTCAGACGCACCCAAGGACCTTAACTAAAACACATGTCCTGAATCAACTTCAAAACGAGAAAAACAACTGTACTGTATGTCGGTGGTAGGGGAGTAATGCAGCAGCAAATAAGCTCAATCTCACAGAACTACACCTGATTCGATGATGGCAAGGATGTGGGAAGCTACTACTCCTGCCAGAAACCAGAAAGATGAAGACGATACTCTGATACTCTGTCTTCAATTCTCCGAACTTACTGAGTAAAAAAATCAGAACTACTACAATATCCCTGGAACCATGCTCCCTGCGAGGTGTACGAGGAACCATTGCCATCTAAGCATGGGCCTCGAGTTGACCAAGTACTCCGACACCGAGATCTCCTTCAGACCCAGGAGTGTGTCCATGATGCTGTTCAGCATCTTTTGTACTTCGTGTTCTGGAAGGAGTCCCTCGAAGATCCGGCGTGGAATGGCTGTCATCCACAGCCGCTTTCGACTTTGTGGAACACCGAACATTCGTGGGTCCAACTCCCAGACATGCAGCAAACGATCTGTCTTTGTGCTGATCAAGTGTCCGACATGGTCCAGGTTGGAGGGTCCAGTGCTGCCGTCGGCGTTACGGGTCTTCGTCTTCAGTCCGGCGACGTTCTCAAACAAACAGAAATTCGGTCCGACGAGGCCCGTCGACTGCAGGTAGTGAACGATGCCCTGCAGCACGGAGCCAGTGCGAAGAGTGCCGTCGGCAACGCAGGATCTGTTGGCCGACGTGGACGACGACGGGTTCAGGACAGAACAATCCTGACATGGGAAGCCCGCCGTCATGACCGTACAGCAGCGTGGCATGCGCACGAACGTGTTCGTTTTCGAGTCCCAGATTTCCTTGTCATATTCCAGGTCCGTCGCGTTACAGAACATGCGCTCGATCTTCCTGTCCGTCGTCAAAAGGAACTGGCGTTTGGCGGGCTCCTTCTCGCAGGCGAACTTGTGAGTGAATGCCGGCGAGTCCAGCTCCCAGTGGAAACGTGCCCAGTCCCAGACATGCTTCATGACCGTCGCAGCGATGTCCATCCCACTGCAGATCGACCCGTATTGTCCATCGAGGAGCGTGCTTTCACGCACCAAGTCCTGACAGTATGCCACGTCCTCGGGGTCGAGCCTCCTGACCCAGAGCCTGAACAAGTCCTTCGTGCGTGTTGCATGCGCCGGCAGGGTACGTGTAAAGTGTTGCAGGCTGTACTTCGGAATATGAACCTCGACTTGCTTCACCACTTCTGCAGTACGGCGATGGGGTCTGTCCGGCGTGGGTAAGGCCTCCGGCTGGAACTGCAACGCTCGCCGCAAAGCCATGGGTAAGCTACGTGTACTGTACAGCGAGTGCCAGATGTTCTCTCAGGAAGCAGGACTAAGGAACCGGGAGACGATGAGTTTGCCGATAGGTATAGGCGTTCCGAACACAAGCCCCGGCCTCTCGTCCAATTATATAATGCTCTTTATGAATCCTGCTGAACGACGTGCTTTTATCAGTATAGCTGCCCCTGCATTGCACTGTTCAGATGATGTTCTGGAGCCAGAAGACTGACTTGGCTCTCTGGAGACCATCATGAAACCAGGTCGGAAAGGTTGACCCCATTCTTCCAGCAGCAGCAAGAAACATTGAAAAACAAAGCTTTCCAAATCGACAGTAAAAGAAATCCATTGGGAGCCTCTCTGCGACTAGTCCAACCGAAAACTAAAACCACATTCAACAAGAACGAACTAACATCATAGTGTAAGCAGCATTTCAAAACATAGGACATCTGAACATTCCATCCAAGACTGCACTGAACTGTGCGGCCGAAACCGTCCTTGAAGTGCTCCGTGTGTCGCTGCCAGAGTGAGAAGGGTGTGGCCTCTGCCCCAGGGCCTGCAACATGGAAATGGAAAGCATCTAGCCAAGGAGTGTGGGGGAACAGCGGTGTATTATCCTTAGGACTTCAGACACGCCTCTGCATGTACATGTTCTGTAGAACCTACAGATTCCAAATGGCAGAATGAGCGGCCCTTTTTATCCTTGCCGAAGGGCCGTCCTTGACATGCACAAGTCGGTCGTCAATCGTGTGACAGCGGGGAACTGAACAAAAAGAACCCAACCACAAAGTCTAATACATTATTCTGGTTTTCTGCAATCTTCTTAAGTTAATTCTCTTACGAGATTCAATGAACTGATTCAATGATTCGAAACATCGGGTCATCGAACAACGTGTGTCATGCAAAACTTGCACGGGCGAGTCCACCGGCGACAACATTCGTCATCTCTTGTCTGACATAAAATCATACTTTGCGAAAGACACGTTGGAAAGTTATAGCATTACGTACACCGGGGACTTGCTACGGCTCCTCTTCTTCGTCCAGCGACTGAATTGTCCTCGTGAAACGGCCCTGCAAATCCTTCAACAAATCGAGTGAGCTGCGCCTGTCCTGCTCCAATGTGAAGCATGAACCGAAAACGTGTGCAGCGATGTCGTCGTCCAGCAAGTGCAGGTCGCGTGCTCTCTCGCGCCATGCAGTCTGGAAACGAACGAGCGCTTGTGAGATGGTCGGCGTGTGCTTGACGAAGCCCTTCGGGTCGGGAGTGAACAGCGAGCGTGTCGTCTTCGCGTAGCAATCCCACGTCACCACACCGAGTGCCCACATGTCCGCCTTCGGGCCGATCTCCACCTCTTTCATCAAAGTGAAGCTGCTGAGCAGTTAAGGGAAACGACAACAAAATGAAACACATAGTCATACTTCCTGCCAAAAAACAAGTCAATTCTTAAAGACATGGCTGTTACTAGCAAGATATGAAGTTTTTCAGGCTATGTCTTTGACTAAGAAGCTGAGTCTACGACTGCATGTGCTGACATGACTCTTCTATGAATCAAGAATCAGATCTTTGTGTCAAGTTTTCAATTACAATGGCCATTGCGAGTTTGCTAGTAGTAATGACATCAGTTGGATCCGGGAATGCCTGAGGTTGATCTGGTCCTGCAGTTCAGATCCGCAAAATCATAAAGTGTTACTAGAATGAACATACGCACCGGGCTTACTACTTTCAACTTTCTTCGACTAGGATTCATGGTCCAGGCCTTGCCGTCCCCGGAGTAAAGGCACTCGATCGGCCGGTAGTACGTCGTGTAGACTTCGTCAGCTCTGACTTTTGCTTTTCCATTGAGTGGCAAAGCTCGGCAAAAACCAAAGTCGGACAGCACCACCCGCTCGCCGAGGAGAAACACGAGGAAGTTGTTCGTTTTCACGTCCAAATGTACGATGTTTTTGCTGTGCACAAATGTAAGAGCTGCGAGTGTCTGCCGAAAGTACGTCGTTACTTGGGCTCGTCGTGTGCTCCAGGGAACTCCGTCCTGAAGGTCGTCCGTCTTCAAGTCCCGTGTGGCCTTCAAGAGGTCGCAGGAAGCCCGCTCCATTAGAATTCCCGTGTGCCCAGTCGAGGATGTCAGCAAGGCATAGAGTCGCAGAACATTCGGATGAGGTCCTATCTGGCTCAAAAGAGTGAACTCACGGGTCAAGTCCCACGTCTTTTCGAGACCGTCTTGGTGCACGTCCAACAGTGCAGTCTCCCTGTCCGGCGTGCGAACGGCCACTTTCAAGGCTAACTTCAGGCCCTGGTACGTGCAAGCGAAAATCTCCCCGTACGTGCCGCGACCCATATGTTTCTCCTGCACCAGTGGGTCCTCGGCCGTGTAGCGAAAAATGCCACGACCGTCGAAGTCCTGCGACTCTGCGACGTCCGGCAGTTCTCTGTCCATGAACGAAGCGGGGGGAACTTCCGTGTGTTTGGCCTGTCGAAATTCTTCGCGTTGGACCCGATTCTCCTGGTAGCCCTGCCTGGCCTTGCGTGTGTACTCGTCACGGAGGTCCTTTCGGTTGTGCCTCGGGGAACAGAGGAATTTTACTGGACGATTGGGTGAAAAGGTAATCCCCGAGTAAAAAGTAACATGACTTGTATTAGGACTTTTAGCTACATCTTATTAATTATGTCTGAAGTAAATAACTTTGGTACGTAGCTAAGATGGCATATTCGGGTTCCTGACCAGAATTGCCAAGATTTTACTTCCCGTGGCTTCAGATGACTTGGGGTTCTAGGCAAGGGGCACATGTGTCAGTATCTATATTGATTTTGCAGCCAAGAAGCCACTTGCGCAGATAATGTTTTGAACCGCGAAGTGATGTTTTCCGGGACAGTCGACGACGAGATTTGGGGTCCACAGAGTCCTTGCACATGTCCTGCATGAACAGCGCGTATGCCGAGGGTCGTCGTGACAGTCCCACCTCCTGTAACTTCGGCCGGGCCACCATGGCACGAGTAATACTTCGAGGATGGAACCACGAGTCGAGACATGTACAGAGACTCTTTCCGTTCCATTTATTTCAACAAAACTGAATTCTCATGGACTCCCACCGAGAATAACAACCTAGGTTTCAAGTACAAACATTTCTGGTACAATTTCCAGTTGCGCTACATGACTACTCATTATCTTGTGTGTCCGTGGGGAAAGTTACACAGAAGGTGAGTGAGGGCGCGTTGGCTCGCCATATCAGTACATGTCTGGCCTACTTAAAATACGTGCTCAATGCATGGACGACATGCTCCTGAACTTGAACCCACATCACCGCCACTGTCTCACACACGTAGCAGTGCATTACAGAAGTCTGACTAGAAGCATCAATTGCACGGATCAAACACGCGTGCAAAGCGGAATAATCCTCTTTTGGGCCCGACGAATGTGTGCATCGATGCTGAACGACGATGTGCTACGAGGAGAAAAAGTCCAATCACGGGCATGTCAAGTCCGAGTGAACTCAGGAGTCGAACCTTGTCAATCGCTCCTGCAAGTTTTCGGGTGGGTCACGTCCTTCGTGGTGCTCCACCCATGACCAACCTTGTGTTACACAGGCTCGACCGGCGGCAGCTTCACCTACTTGTGTCCATGAAATACTACGTGTAATGCTGACTACAGCTGTCTTGTACGACACCTTCCAACGACCATTCTTTGGGTCCGTCCAAACCTGTACAGTATCAGGAACCATGCTCTTCACAAGCTCGTCCGTCGTGGCATTCAGCTTTGCGTACACCCGGTCGTACTGCTGCTTTAGCTTTTTGCTGTCCTTCTCGGCCTTCTGAGTCTTGCGTCGGCGTGTGTCCTGTCCGGCCTTCCAAAAGTCCTTGTCCAGGTCCGAGACGGCGTTCTTGTACATCGTGCATACCTTGGGTCGTAGACTTTTGGCCGAAACCGTGGACCGACGGGCACTGAGCTCCTTGAGGGCCTTGTCCTGCTCGCCAATGAGCAGCGTGTCCCGAACGACGGCTTCCAAGTCCTTGTCGTCGACCTCCGGCATCCACTTGTCAGTCTGATGCCTTGCCAGGATTCGTTGAACCACGTCCTCTTCGACCAACGAGTTGTCCATGTTGAGCATGGCGGCAACAGCCAGCTGATGTCCTGCGTCCACACCTGATTTGGGTTGGGTGGCGGTCCAACCCATGTGCTGGCACAACCTGCGCAACAAAGCCTCAGAACAGGCAGCGAAGCCCTGCTCGGCGTGAAAGTCCAACGTGCCCATCTTCTTGTCCACCAAAAACACGATGCCGTTGTTGAGGTGGCTGCCCTGCGTGGAACGACCTCAGCAGTAGCAGTAGCGGCAGCAACACTCTTAGTAAAAAATGATCGCAATCGTTAAGTTTTGCGCCTGGTCAGTAAAAAGCGGTGATATCACTAGGAAGACTGGTAAAAAGACTCGAAAAGGGTAGTAGTAGTAGTAGTAGTAGTAGTAGTAGTAGTAGTAGTAGTAGTAGTGGTAGTAGTAGTAGTAGTAGCAGTAGTAGTAGTAGTAGTAGTAGTAGTAGTAGTGATAGTACTAGTAGTACTAGTAGTAGTAGTAGTAGTAGTACTACTACTAGTAGTAGTACTACTACTACTAGTAGTTGCAGTAGTAGCAGTAGTAGTTGTAGTAGTAGTAGAAGAAGTTGTAGTAATACTAGTAGTAGGAGTAGTAGTACTGGTACTAGTAGTAGTAGTAGTAGTAGTAGTAGTACTACTACTACTACTACTAGTAGTACTTGTAGTAGTAGTACTACTACTACAAGCAATCGCAGTAGTTTACAGTAGTAGAAGGAATCTCAGCAACAGTCCTAGTAGTAGTAGTATTACTACTACTAGTACTAGTACTACTAGTACTACTACTACTACTACTACTACTACTACTACTAATACTACTGCTAGCACTAGTACTAGCACTAGTAGTATGGCCAAAAAAGTGGTAGCAGTACACACAACCACACCCTCCTTTCGTCAATACCCAAAACCTCGACGCACGTGCCATCCTGGGCTACTCAACCTAACTCTGTGAAACTTCGAATCCTTGACTGTCGAATCGCCTGAGTTGTTCAGAAACCCATAAAAAATAGCTTCAGTGCTACCCCCCCCCCGGGCCGAAACTTACAATCTGAACCGGAGAAGCCTTCCGTGTCAATCAATCATCGTCACTCATTATAGGACGAATATATATGTAGAGAATGTCCGTGTCGGGCTGACAATGTTCAACTGTACTGCAGCCGAGGCACGCAGAGGTGAAACAACTCGCAGCCGCAACACTTCCAAGTCCAAAGATGTGCTGTGCATCCAAAAGAGAGACCGAACGCCCATGTTGAATTCGAAAACTCATGGTCCTTGTCCTTAACGATCTTGCCGGGCCATGCGAGTGCAGCCAAACGGTATGTCCGAACGATGAACAACGGGTCTGCACCTGCCAGTACAACATGTCCTTCGGGCAAAAGTCCAGAGCACCAACCTTCTTCACAAAGCGACCATCGCTTGGCCCTCCACGCCTTCATCAGTAAACTGAAGGCAGCCAAAACCTCCTGTTCCTCGGCGTGGTTGTGGGAGACCCAGTCCCTCGTCTTCGTCACGTCTGCAAGAAGCTGTGCTTCCTGCACCTCCGAGGCACTGACCTGCGTGCTGACCGACGAATCGGAACGACGACGAACTGCTTGAATCTTCTTCTTCTCGGTGTCTTTGCAGAAAAGTTTGGCCACGTCAAACGCTGCCGGCGTGTGGTAGAGCTCCGTTGACAGTGCCTCCACCCTCTCGTACATCTTGACCACGGCCTGTTGGGTCACAGCCTTCCATCCGTCCAAACGACCCAAGTCCTTCGAAGACGAATGTCGTTGCTCGGCCTCGCGCTGGACTTTATTACAGTCTTCGATGATCTTCGTGTTCAAGAGGCCCGACCAAATGCTGGTCAATACGTGTGCAACGTCCTCCGTAAGGCTCTGAAACCGGGTAGTGCAAAGATCGGCGAGGATGTACCGACTAATCGGCCCTTGGGAGAAATGACCTTCGAGCAATTTTTTTGCCATACGAGAACCACCACTGTGCGTGTCCTGGATACAAGACTGCATCTCTTTGAAAAAATCCAAGCTTGCCCGACGGAACTGCTCTTCAGCATGGACTAGTCCTGCGGTCGCACCGAAACCTCCAGTATGGTACAGCTGTGCCCCGGCCCGCAGCCGCAGGATCTGTAGTGTCAACTGCGTCATTTGGCCTGCGAGCGAGTCCTGCCAGACAAGCTCTGTCTCCTCCGGGGGTTGTGCGCGTGCCAGTGTCAGGTCGAGGCCGACACGAGATAAACCTTCCAAATTCGACAAAGTCCTGACGTGGTCCTTTGCAGTGCTCATCCAAGACCAGTGTGCCCAGCCAGAGTAGTAGTCCTTCGTCATGCCTTTGGAACGCAGCTGCTTGAGCATGAGCGAACAACGAAGCTCTTCGGGTTGCAAGACCTGGAACATCATCCTGGCTGTCGTCTTGTTGTCCTGCGAGATCACGAACTTCGTCATTAAGTGTAGACTGTTCGCGCTGCCCTTCCGCTCCTGGTCCATGCCTTGCTTGGCCTCCTGTATGGCAGAAGACTTGCTTCCACCATATGGAACCGAGGCACGGGCCTGGTTGCTGTCCTGCGAGAAGAGGTCCTTAGTGGAAACTGCCCAGTTGTGCTCCAAGCAGACCACCGTGAGAACTAAAGCCAAGACCGACCACTCTTTGTCCAGCGCGCTGTGGGCCGTCGTCAGGGAATTGAACCGACTCTTGCTGGCCTTCGTGCCCTTGATGCGGATGCAGTCCATGTCGGGTAATGTCTGCAAAAACGACCTGCGTTTCTCCTCCGTGTTGTCGTCCAGGGGGGAGAGGCCGGCGTCCAGCAGAATGTCCGGGAAGAAAAGGAGCAATATCGGGTCCGAGGGGTCCATGTTGTCCTTCATGCGATTTGCGGCTTGCTGGATCTTCAACGCCCACGAGCCCTTCTGCCAGGGTCCATACCTGATGTTGTACAGCGAGATGCACCATGTGCAGAACTTCAGGAGTCCAGCGGCCGACAAGGCCAAAGCCACGTCGTTGTGCGACCTGTGGGCGGGGTCCGAGACGTGTTCGATCCAGAGGCTCTTTTTGTTCCTCAAGAAGGAGACAGCCGCCAGCTGTGTTGCTTCTTGGTCGGTGCACAAAATCATGATCGGTGCACGTTTAGCCTTCGTGTCGTCCTCCGCGGGGCCGGCCGGCGTGCTCTGGCAGCAGCCAAAAGTCCAGCCAATGGGTCGCAAGCCGTGGTTTATGTCCTGCATCCAAGACAGTGTGGCCAGCCGGTCCTCCGCATGACCAGGTCCAACGGGTTTCTCGATCCCGAGGAACTTCTTGGAAGCCTTGTTCCACATAGCTTTCCACTGCTCAGCCGACAAGACGGACGATTTCTGGACCTGCTGCGTGGTCTGACTACACAGAGAAAAATGTGAAGCAAAGCTTAGAGGAAGAGCTTGTCAGCAACAGCATGCAAAACAAACGACAGAGGTTGTTACCATATAATCACCCAGGGGCCCTTTTTTGGGGGACCGGCCGGTCAACTTAAGCGGGGATCTGGCGTACCTTTTTGGGGGCCGAAATGCAGCCAAAATGTGGCCGAAATGCGTTCCTCGGCCTCCACCCGGGACCCGGTCAACTTAAGCAAGGCTGTGCGTACCTACTCATCAGTAGAAGGGCGGCCGGGAGCCTTTATCAGGCCAATCCCGAAACCCAGGGGTCAGCGGGGATACGTGTACCTATCTTTATATAAAATACAATAGAAAGACTCCGCCCCAAACCGAGCCTGAGCGGGGATACGTGTACCTCCCCTCGGAAAAACGATTTTGGTCGGACCCAGAAGCTACGAAAACGGCACCCAAAAAGGTCAACTTAAGCAAGGCTCTGACGTACCTCGCCTCTTGCCTAAAACGCCTCAGAAATATGTGTTGCTTAACAAAAAAAAAAAGCGCCTGCGGCGGGCAGACCCAAACTTTGTCCGTCGTGTGGTTGTACACCATGATGTTCAGCCAATCGTCACTTCCCACGTGCACTGCATCTGCCACCACGCACAAAATGTCCGTCGAGAGGAAATCTGACTTGCCCTGCGTGACATAGGCGTATCGCTCCATGCGTGCTAGCCTGTGTGCGTCCATAGAAGCGTGCTTCTTGATCTTTTGTTCGTCCTGCTGTTCGCTGCTGTCCTGCACGGTGAACGCATGTCCTTGCAATGTGGAGGTAAGTGTCCTGCGTGTGGCATTCGATGAACTCGCAACCTCTTGTCGAAAACTCGTGGACGACCGACGATATCCGGAGGTGCTCCTGAAACAACAGGGGGAATATCAATTTTCGGGCTTTCAAGACACAACCCTACATCTTAAAACCCCGGAACCCTCCAAACCCTTCAAACCCTCCAAACCCTCGAATCGAAACCTCTCTCCTAAGCTGCATCACTTGCTTCACATTCAAAGATGTCCAGCAGGAATGCGTGTCGTCCGACGAATCCATGGCACGTGCCAAAGCCGCCAACAAGTAGTACTTCGTCCTCAAACTAGATGACTTGCGAGTGTCTCCAATTGTCCGACGGGTGCAGTCCACATTCACATCCTGCAGCACGTCCATGAATCGGGAACGATCGCGGTGTAGTACTTTAGCAAGTAAACTGTTTTGCAGTACAACCTCGTCCACGTCCAGCGAACCTCCTTTGAACGGCAGCACCAGAGTGTTTCCGTCCCACGTGAATGAGAAGTCCTGCGGGGTCTGCAGGAACAAGGAAGCGAGGCCTTGAAGCAACTCCCCGGCCAGCTTGGATACCTCCTCTGCCGGCTTCTTCCATTTGGCATCTTTGCGCATACCCTGGTGCCATTGATGCAAAAGAACAATCGTTGCAAAGCTCGACGTGGCAAACTCTGTACAACGTGTGCTTCGTCCAGCTGCTACCTCTTCCATCTGGTCACCCGTGTGCTCCTCATTGTCCGCTTGCTCGTTGTCGTCCTCCATGTCGTCCTGCATCTGCTGCGAGGATGCCTTTCGTTTGGTGCCCTTCTTCTCGGCGTTTGCAGCGTGCTCCTGCTGCTTGAGGAGGGAGAACGAACTCTGGAGAAAGTGCGACTCGATCTCTTTTTTCAGAGCGTCCTCCGTGTCTGTCCAGCAGGGCCATGCAATCGTGAAGAGCTTGTTCCTGAACGTCGACACACTGCCTGCGAGGAAATTTCGAGACTCGTGTCCTCCGAGGAAGTCCACAAACCAACGCATGTGCCAAAAACGATGTCCATCCGTTACCTTGGTCTGCGGCTCTTTGAACTTGTAGCTCTCGCCCTTGAGGCTTCCGTGTGTCCCGCAGGGAATGCAAAATGCAACTGTCCGACGCTTGTCCGACGCAGAGCTGAAAAAAGCTGGAGGTCCTGAAGAAGAGGGTCCATCGGCAGAAGCGGGCTCCAGCATCTGATAGCGAGTGGATCAATTCTACAGTCTGTTTCTGGTGAACGAATGTAGCAAAACTTTATAGGCTATGTCCCAGGAAGTATATGTGACATCTGCCAAACCAAGAGAAAGGGAGGCTCTGCAGGCATGCAGCTTTTATTCTGGAAGCCCAAAGACAGCGGCAACGAATCGCTGATGTCGCAAGGCAGTGCTCACACCACGTGTCATGGGTCTGTGTTCTTCTGCAACATGTATGTAGCACATACTGCAAGGCACCGCAAGGAAGTCATTATTGCAGTCAGCCATTCATCGCACGTATTCTTTTATGCAGCTTGCAAGTTGCCGGCTTCACGGCCCCAGTGAAACTCGTGCCTGTCCACTCACTCAGACACAATGGGTCGAACGGCGAGGCGAACGACATTGTGCTTTTCGAGTGAACAAACTGGACAGAACAACGAGTAAAGTCAACCCCAAACTCAAGACACACTGAACTACCAGGAGAGAGTGCATTATGCACTCCGGACCGACGGGGTGCCCTGCGGCACATTGTCGCCGAGGCCAGCCGTGGTGTCTGCGTCCGACGACAAGTCGAAGGTCCACTTGGCCTTCATGTCCGGCAAAGTAGGAAAGAAACTCGCGCATTCAAAACTGAACAACGAGTTATGCTGTCCATCTGAAATGACACAGTCCACCGCAAAAGGGTCGTCCAATTGCCACGTCTTGTTGTCCGGGAGAGTAGGAAGCTCGTGGCTGAGGTACGACTCGTTGGGTACGAACTCCGAGCGGGAACGGCGAGGGTGTCCATCTTGTGTGGCAAAGACGTGGCAGTACAACGTGTTGTTCTCAAGTGACCAGATGTTGTACCTGTCCCGGTCAACACTGATAGCCTCCGCCGAGTTCACCGCAGCTATGTAGTTGCGACCAACGTCCTCCATGCGGGCCCTCGCTAACTTGACCAACGTGGACTGATAGCGAATGTCCGCACGAGATGGCAAGGACGCCGACTTGGCTGCCCAGAACTGGATCTCGAAGAGGGTCCGTACGACGGGTTCGTCCTTCTGTACGTCCTCCGCGAGCTCCACACCGCAATGCTTGAGCATTAAGCTCGCCATCTCAAGCGGCAAACTGCCCCATTTGGTGCACTTGCCCTTCCATCTCAGTCCACCGGTCTCCTCCTTCTTGGCAACGTCCTTCAGAAGACCATTCAACGAGCCCGAGCGGATCAGACCAGCGAGTGGAGAAATCCAAGTCGGGTTCTGGGTCAGCGTGTCTTGAATGAACCGCATGTCCACGTCGAGTATGGTGCTTTTGGAGTGCTGAACGGCGGATGCGAACGTCGCCTCGTTGCGCTCCCGGGTCTTGATGTCCTTCGCTTTCTGCTTCGCCAGCTGCTTGAGGGTGGGCTTGCGGGGGCCGGCATCACGAGGCATGCTGGGCAAGGTCCGTCGAGGAAGAACGACGGGGGAAGGATGATAAGACTGCACGAAGTCTCAACGCACAGGCAGGACGGCTTCGGAAAACCAAACAATCAATCAAGCCCTGCTGCTGGGTGGTCTCACAGTGCATTGTGACTGGACGAACATGGCAAGCAAGACACAAAGCGTAGACCGCACGAGAGCACAGTGCCTGAAACGAGAAGGCTCAGCGGCAGCGATGCCGGCCAATGGAGTCCGTGTCCTCCATATGAACAGGACAACAGCGATTGCAAGAGCGCCTTCCTCCAGCTGGTTGACTACTGGTCTAGTAATTACTCGTAGCAATACTAATCCAGATTGCGAAGAGTAGTACTAGCAGCAGTACCACTACTCATTAAAGAAAGGAAAAACCAGTAGGCCGAAATTGCAGTCCCTATTAGTTGAAGTAGAAGTATTAGTAGTAGTAGTAGTACTAGTAGTACTAGTAGTAGTAGTAGTGTACTAGTAGTAGTAGTAGTAGTAGTAGTAGTAGTAGTCGTAGTAGTAGTACTAGTACTAGTACTAGTCGTAGTAGTAGTAGTAGTAGTAGTAGTAGTAGTAGTACTAGTCGAAATAGTAGTAGTAGTAGTAGCAGTAGTACTGGTTAGCTAGTAGTAGTAGTAGTAGTAGTAGTAGTAGAAGTAGCAGTAGTAGTCGTAGTAGTGCTAGCAGAAGTAATAGTAGTACTAGCTAGCTAGCTAGCTAGCTAGCTGGCTAGCTAGTAGTAGTAGTAGTAGTAGTAGTAGTAGTAGTAGTAGTAGTAGTAGTAGTAGTAGTAGTAGTAGTACTACTAGTACTAGTAGTAGTAGTAGTAGTAGTAGTAGTAGTAGTAGTAGTAGTAGTAGTAGTAGTAGTAGTAGTAGTAGTAGTAGTAGTAGTAGTAGTAGTAGTAGTAGTAGTAGTAGTAGTAGTAGTAGTAGTAGTAGTAGTAGTAGTAGTAGTAGTAGTAGTAGTAGTAGTAGTAGTAGTAGTAGTAGTAGTAGTAGTAGTAGTAGTAGTACAGTACCAATGCTAGTAGTACTTGTACTAGTCGTGGTAGTAGTCGTAGTACTGAGTTGTACACCTCATGATTATTTTCCTGAATCAAGCCACACCCGAAGCCCCTCTGTGGACAAGTATGGTGAACTTCCAGAAGTGAAATCGGTTTATACCATGCACTGTAAGTAGATCTAGTTAAGGAGACACCACCCGCAATGAATAGGCCAGAACTAACCTTACTGATTCACAGCCACAAACAACAAATCTAATGTGTAACGCCCAACACTAAAATTTACCGCTCACCCTCGATTCTATGCACTCGATGCTTGAAATGCTGAAATGGCAACCCAGGCAACAAACCGGACTCCAATTGCTCAAAGGCCTTTAACTCTTTATGTCTACGGCAATTGCTCCATGTCTGCTGCAGGTGGATCCTAACTTACCTCAGAGTCCGCGGAATGCCTTGTCACAATCCGAAAGCATGACCCCTGACTTAGTCCTCGTCCTGCCGTGTGGCCGTGCCCTGCGAACCGAACGAGGAGTGACCGACCTCAATTGCAATGCATGAAGCACATGACAAACCTAGTACGAGTGACTGGTGACTGCGGGTGGTTCAAGCACTTGTCGCTTCCGAGTGTGACAGGAAAGAACACAGCAACTGTGCCGATGCAAATCGTCACAAACTGTGCAGCACCAGAACTCCGAGGACCCCGCCAAAGAGGTGCCAGTCCATGTCAGCAACCTGAAGCGCAAAAGTTTAAGTCAGCAAACAGTGCGATAGGAACTAACATCCGGCAAATGTAAAGTGTGCCAGGACAACTCTTTTGAACGGCGAGAGCGAACTGATCTGAACTCCGAGTGCAGAAAACGTGTCACTTTCGAGACTGGCCGGCGAGAGCGAACTGCTCCAGAACTCCAAATGGAGACTGGCCGGCGGGTACGTCGTGCTTGAACGAACTGCGGCTAGTTCCACGAGCCCGGTCCAAGTTCGAGTTTCTTGAGAAACAGTCCGATGCACTGAAAGTCGATCGTGTCACCTGAACCAGCGATGTCCGAAAATTTGTCGACTTGGTAAGTATTTCAGTTATACTACAAGGTTTACCAACAAAAATCTTACTGGTTCTGCTGTTGCACGTCCGTCGGGGCCCTTCGTGATGCAGAAGTACAAGTCCGACGCGTTGTGCGACGACACCGCGTAGTACATGTGGCCCTGCCAGGGAACGGGGACGGCCACCGGGTAGGCCTCCCAGTCGCGGTTCAGCATCTCGACCATCCACGATTGCGGGTGTCGGGAACCGAACAGCGGGGAATGGAGTCCGGCGGAGAGGGCGTTGTCTGTCCTGCGCTGGGCCGCCCCGAGTATCTGCTTGAAGCAGAGCCTGGACCGGCAGTGGGTGCTGCGTGTTTAACCACTCACACACACAAGTGCAAGTACTGGAATGCTTGAATGACTGAGTGCGCTGATGTCATAGCTGAGTGCCACACTCCAACATTTTATCGCCCTGCATGTGTTCGACGAGTATCTGCCAGCCGTCGTCCTTCCTGCTAGGGAACAATTCAATTATCAGAAACACAAACTATTAAAATCTAGAAGTCTCTCTCACTCACCGTCCGAGGAGTCCGTGTCGCGAAGGCAGGGGGCCGCTTGTACAGCAGTCCATCGGTTGCAGCAAGCCAAGACCAAAGCCTACGGGATGTGCTCTGTGGAAAATAATCAATGTATTATAATATTATATGGCTTTAAAAGCATGCACCTTCATAGAAACCACGCTACAACCAACATGGGTGTAACGAGCCTGTCCGCCCATTTCTGCTGCGTGTCGTACGGCGAGTGTTCGGGTACAAAGACAGTCGAGAGCCATTCGGTGCGCCATTCGGGCATCCTGTCGGGTTGTCCAGTGCGGAAATAATATGCCTGCGCAAGGCTCAGATCGGCGAGGAAGCACTGCAAATCCTCCTGCGAGTCAATGTCCGGCGGAAGGCAGTCCAAACAGTTCGACGGCAGCTGCTCGCAATAATCGAGATTACGCTGCAGGATGGTACTTGGGTCTTCCATCCCACAGACCGACGCGAGGTAATAGTCCATCGCACGAAAATCGAATATGACCTCGTCCTGCGGGTCGGTGGAACGGCGAAGAAAAAACGGGAGTCCATGGGGAAGTCCTGCTCGGTCAGCGGAACCGGAGGACGACATGTCCGACGAGAAAGAACGAGGAAAGGGAGAGGAATGATGATGACAGTGGCAGGTGGCTTGGGCTTTCTGGCAGCGGCATGATAACAATGATTCTGTGTCTAGGCTTCTTTAAAAAACCTAAAGCATCACCAACCACGACAGACCATGATGCTTCAGATGAAAGTCTGCCTGACTTGTGCTGCTGCTCCACACTGGCAAGTGCTAGGCTGCCCACGGTGATCTACGTGTGCCCACTCGAAGTCCAGCGGAGTCACCTTTGTGAGGCCGACGTTAGTACTACATGGGAACCATGGACTCATGATTTGTCCCTAGTCCTTCGGGGTGGTCCTGCGGTGCCGCTTTTGAACTTCCTAGCTTAAATCATAGTAACTTCGAATGCAAAGTGCACAGAAAAGGAGCTTGGACAGTCCTAGGAACCGACCTTGAACAGTCTGGTTACAAAACCCAGCATTCTTTACAAGAGGCAAGCTGCATCGAACTCCGAACGACCGTTGCAATGTGTACTGACGACCCAGGCCTTGTGTCTAAGTCTTCAAACTGACATGTATAACTATGATTCTAAACTGCATTCAGTCAGCTGCTAACCACCCTTGTCCCAAAGGAACCCCACACCCTGTGTAAACCCGACAGCTGAAACACAGACTCTGTGTGTGTGTGGGTGTGTGTATGTGTTGTCCTGTGTATGTCCTGCGAGTGCCAACAGCTGTTGCTTAGTGTTGCATGGGAAACCAGATGAACACAACGTCCCAAATGAAGTCCCCAATCTCAGAAGATGTAAGTAACAAGCGAAGAAACCTGTAAGTAGCATCTCAAGACAAGATGGTTCCAAAGGCAACCGCTAAAGAAAAGTATAAGTACCAGGAGAACAAACAGGGAATGTGCATTCTCGAGTCCAGTACCATTATACCACTGCACAAGTGCAAGAACTTACTGTACTTACCCTGTGCCCTGAAGAGAACCATCCTTTAAACCCAAACAAAAAAAGCATGAACAGACCTGAGCTTGCAACGAAGGATTGCGCATGGAAGACCTGATGCGAGGAAGCTTGAGGGCTTCTCCTCTTTAATATTTTATAATTCTGAGTATTAATATAATATTATTATTGCCTGATGTGAAACCTCCACAAAGACTGAGACACCCAATCCAAACCACTTTTTGACTGTCCATGGTTTGAATATCAAAAAGCTCGTAAATTAAATATGAAGACAGACCTTTCCTGAGAGGGAAGAATAACGATTCTGAAGCCCCCTGTAGACTACTGCAAACTCCATTATCGCAAATCCACCTCTGAGTCTTTGCCATCCGACTTAACATTTACATAGAAGACATGGACACCACATTTTCCTAGCCGCATGGCATATGAGAAATATGAATTATCTGTGCAGTAACGGCGCGGCAAAACAGCTAACTCCAAACCGTGATAAATCTTTCATAAGAGACCACGACCCAACCAGCAACACATGATCGGAGCCGCTCTGAGCACCCAGCTGCGAAGAAAGGGTGGCTTCAAAGCACCTGACGCTGGCAAACACTGGCATGCTGATACGACTCACTTACTACCTCAGGAAAGCATTCTGCGGCAACGACTGCAGAACCGCACTTTTTCCTGCTGTGTCCGGCGAGTCGAGAAGTTGGCGAGTCGAGTACCGTGTATCAGACCGACGAATCAGGATATTTCTCTGTCTATTCCAGGATGCTGCTATGCGGCCTTCTAAAACATTAATTTAATAGTTTGTCCTTCGAGGAACCGTCGAGTCTGATATGCACGGGAACTACGGGGGACTCCGTCCTCCGGGGGGAGCAG